TCAAAGCACCGAGCTCGTTCCCTTGGCAACAGTCATGTTGGAGATTGGCCTTAGGGTAGGAGCTAAAATCCCACTCAAAAATAGGAGTTCTCAGCTCTTGGCTGTCACACTGGGGGAGGGTGCTGGCACAGGGGTCACCCTGCCCTGTGCCCCGAGGTTTTGGGGGAATTCTCTCCTTTTGGGGCCACCCAGGGAGCTGTGATTGCAGGAAATGCTCTCAGGGCGTTTGGGGGATTTGTGGTGACCCAGAACTGGGGTTTTCCCTCTGCTCTGCCCCATCTCAGCTGGCACAGGGGTCACCCTGCCCTGTGCCCCGAGGTTTTGGGGGAATTCTCTCCTTTTGGGGCCACCCAGGGAGCTGTGACACCAGGAAATGCTGTCAGGGTGTTGGGGGATTTGTGGTGACCCAGAACTGGGGTTTTCCCTCTGCTCTGCCCCCTCTCAGCACTCAGGGTGTGGGTGGTGGCACAGGGGTCACCCTGCCCTGTGCCCCGAGGTTTTTGGGGGAATTCTCTCCTTTTGGGACCCCTCAGGGAGCTGTGATTGCAGGAAATGCTGTCAGGGTGTTTGGGGGTTTCATGTGTGTGAAGCCCCTGGAATCAGGGAATGCTCATTCCCAGGAATGTTCATTTTCAGGGGAATCCTCTGGAATTTGGGGTTTGGGATGAGGGGGTTTAATATGGGAAGGTGTGAAGTCCCCTGGAATCAGGGAATGCTCATTTTCAGGGGAATCCTCTGGAATTTGGGGTTTGGGGTGAGGGTATTTCATGTACAGAGCATTCTTTTGCTGTGCCCCTTCTCAGATACGTTCATTTACAGGGAAATCCTCTGGAATTTGGGGTTTCATGTGGGGAGGAGTGAAGCCCCTGGGGTCACAAGGAGTGGGATTCCATCCTGCTGGAACATCAGGATCCCCCAAGATCTCAGCTCCCAGCACCCCTGTCCGTGGCAGAGCTGAGCTGGGAACACACCCAGAGCTGTTTTCCCCACTTTTAGGGAATATTTTCATTCCTGTGACAGTCCTGGCACCCTGGCATCAAACCCTTCACCCTGTGGGAGGGAGGGAGTGGCTGTGGGGGCTGGAGGTGCAAAGGTGGGAGCTGCCAGAAAGAACTTGAGGCACCAGTGGAGTTTCAGGATGGATTTATCCCTGTGAGGAGAACAGGAACACCCTGAATTCTGCAACTCCTGTACCCAGAGCCAGGTGACACCACACAGGGATGTCCTAAATGCTGAGAATTTCAACTTTCTGACCCCAAAGAGAACACTGCATTTTACCTAACCCCACGTGGAACCCTGTCCTGGATCAGCCTGGATCCTTCCCACCTTCACCTTTGGCTCTGAGCCTGCTCCAGCATCATCTCCCTGCCTGGATCTGCATTTTGGGGACAGCCTGGATGGATCCCAAGGGACATCTGGATGCCACTGGGTTGGGAAGGAACCAGCCCTGGAGTTGCAGGAGCAGATGCACCCAAACAGGAGCAGGTTTCCCTCTCCTGGGAAATCTGGAGCTGCTCAGCTGCTTGGAATTTGTGCTCTGGATATTCCAGACTGTGGATTCACACCCTGCAAAAATCAGCCTGCAAAGGGATGTGCACAGCAGATGTCTGAGGTTTGCTGATCTGTGAGTTCAAAATTCCCACCCTGTCAGGGCTGATTCCTGCTGGACAGTCATTTCTGGATGGGGACAATCCTTCCTGGGTGGGGACACTCACTGCAGGGTGGGGACACTCATTGTTGGATGGGGACACTCATGGCTGGATGGGGACAGTCACTATTGGATGGAGACAATAATTTCTGGATGGGGACACTCCGTGCTAGATGGGGACACTTACTTCTCAATTGGGGACAGTAATTTCTGGGTGGGGACAGTCACTGTTGGATGGGGACACTTATTTTTGGATGGGGATAGTCACTGCTGGATGGGGATGCTCCTTGCTGGGTGGAGACTGTCACTGCTGGATGGGGACAATCATTTCTGGATGGGGACACTCCATGCTAGATGGGGACACTTATTTCTGATTTGGGGACAGTAATTTCTGGATTGGGGACAGTAATTTCTGGGTGGGGACAGTCACTGTTGGATGGGGACAATCCTTCCTGGATGGGGACAGTCACTGTTGGATGGGGACACTATTTTCTGGATGGGGTCAGTTGCTGCTGGATGGGGACACTCCTTGCTGGATAGGGACGGTCATTTTTTGATGGGGACAGTCCCTTCTGGATGGGGACAGTGATTTTTGGATGGGGACACTAATTTCTGGATAGGGACACTCACTGTTAGATAGGGACAATCATTTTCGGATGGGGACACTCATGGAAATATTCATAGAAAAGATTCAATATATAATACAGAATATATATGAAATATGTATTAAAATATATAAAATTTATTTATATTTATATAAATATTTAAAAATATCTATATTTGCCGTGAGAAGATCTCCTCCCTCTCCCTGAGCAGGGGCCCTGGGGGTCCCTGCAGCCCCCAGGCCGTGCTGTGGCAGTGGCAGGAGGGAGGCAGGGGACAGTGCCAGCCCTGTCAGGTGGCACAGCCCTGAGCTGGCAGTGTCCCTGGCACGGGCAGGGCGGATGCTCCCGGGGTGGGCAGCACCTGGCACAGCTCGTGGTGCCAGCACTGCCCAGGCTGGCTGCAGAGGGGTGGCACCCAGGGGACAGTCCCTGCCCTGAGACCCCTGGGCTGGGGTCAGGCTGGTGCTGCTGGGTTGGATTGATTGATTTATTTATTTATGAAATTATTGTTATTTTAATTATTAAATTTACTTTTATAATTATTTAAATATATATATATATTATATATTTAAAATATATATCTATTTACTTATTTATTTATTTACTTATTTATTCGAGGAGTTTACGATGGCACCAAAAGGATAAATTTCTTTTCACCTTGTGTGTGTGGAAAATGAAGAAATTCAGGTGTTTCCATTTGCTGGGGCTGGGGACTGTGCCATGTCCCCCTTGTCCCTGGCACGACAGCTTCCCAAAAATAGCTGTCCTTGGGCTGGGGGGGTTATCTGATCCTGGAGCTGCTCTCCCTGCCCTTGGGCTGCTCCAGGAGCCAGGAGGAAGAGGAGGAGGAGGAGCTGAAGGAACACAGCCTGGGGAGGGACAGGAGGACATCCTTGCTTGTTGTAAAACCCCAAAGTAGGGGAAAAATCAGGTGAAACCCCAACTTGAGGTAAAAACCCAGAGCTGGGGAAAAATGAGGTAAAACTCCAAAGTTGGGGGAAAATGAGGTAAAACCCCAACTTGAGGTAAAACCCCAGAGTTGGGGAAAAATGAGGTAAAACCCCAACTGGAGGTAAAACTCCAAAGTTGGGGGAAAATGAGGTAAAACCCCAACTTGAGGTAAAACCCCAGAGTTGGGGAAAAATGAAATAAAACCCCACAGTTGGGGAAAAAGGAGGTAAAACCCCAACTGGAGTTCAAGCACCACAGTTGGGGAAAAATGGGGTAAAACCCCAACTCGAGGTAAAATTCCAAAGTTGAGGAAAAATTAATAAAACCCCACAGCTGGGGAAAAAGGAGGTAAAACCCCAACTGGAGTTCAAGCACCACAGTTGGGGAAAAATGGGGTAAAACCCCAACTCGAGGTAAAACCTCAGAGTTGGGGAAAAATGAGGTAAAACTCCAAGGTTGGGGGAAGATGAAATAAACCCCCAGAGTTGGGGAGAAAGGAGGTAAAACCCCAACTGGATGTAAAGCCCCACAGTTGGGGAAAAATGGGATAAAACTCCAAAGTTGGGGATAAATGAAGCAGGGCTTGGAGCCACCTGGGACAGTGGAAAGTGTCCCAAACCCCAAATTTGGGGAGAAATGAGGTAAAATCCCAGCTCCAGGTAAAACCCCAAAGCTGGGGAAAATGAGGTAAAACTCCGGAGTTGGGGAAGAATGAGGTAAAACCCCAACTTGAAATAAAGCCCCAAAGTTGGGGAAAATGAGGTAAAGCCCCAGAGCTGGGAAAAATGAGGTGAAACCCCACAGCTGGGAAAAAATGAAGTAAAGCCCTAAATTTGGGGGAAAAAACTAGGTAAAACCCCAAAGTTGGGGAAAAATGAGGTAAAACCCCAACTGGAGGTAAAGCCCCAAAGCTGGGGAAAATGAGGTAAAACTCCAAGTGTGGGGAGAAATGAGGTAAAATCCCAACTCCAGGTAAAACCCCGAAGTTGGGGGAAAAGGAGGTAAAACTCCATAGTTGGGGAAAAATGAAGTAAAACCCCAACTTGAAATAAAGCCCCAAAGCTGAGGAAAATGAGGTAAAACCCCAAAGTTGGGGAAAATGAGGTAAAACTCCAGAGTGGGGAAAAATGTGGTAAAATCCCATCTGGAGGTAAAACCCCACAGCTGGGGATAAATAATGTAAAACCTCAAAGCTAGGGAGAAATGGGGTAAAATCCCACAGTTGGGGAAAATTAAGTAAAATCCCAACTGGAGGTAAAACCCCACAGTTTGGGATAAATGAGGTAAAACCCCAACTTCAGGTAAAATCCCATAGCTGGGGAGTAATGAGGTAAAACTCCAAAGTAGGGGAAAAAGGAGATAAAACCCCACAGCTGGGAAAAATGAGGTAAAACCCCAACTTGAGGTAAAACCCCAAAGTGTGGGAAAATGAGGTAAAACCCCAGAGTGGGGAAAAATATGGTAAAACCCCAACTGGAGGTAAAACCCCACAGCTGGGGATAAATGAGGTAAAACCCCAACTCTGGGTAAAACCCAACTGGAGGTAAAACCCCAAAGTTGGGGGAAAATGAGGTAAAACCCCAACTCCAGGTAAAACCCTAGAACTGGGGTGGTGGCACTGGGCTGGGTTGGTGACACTGAGCTGGGGCAGTGACACTGAGCTGGGGTGCTGGCTGGGGTGGTGGCACTGAGCTGGGGCGGTGACACTGAGCTGAGGTGCTGGCTGGGGTGGTGACACTGAGCTGGGATGATGGCACCTCGCTGGGCTGGTGGCACATTGTCCCTTTTGTCCCCAGCCCTGCGGGATAACAGGATCCAGCTGGAGAGGTCCACCCCCAACGAGCTGACCATCAGCATCAGCGATGTGGTGCTGGCCGACGAGGGCGAGTACACCTGCTCCATCTTCACCATGCCCGTGAGGACAGCCAAGGCCCTGGTCACCGTGCTGGGTAGGACGTGGGGACAGCCCTCAGTGTGCCACCCTTGATGAAAGATTGCCCTCTGTGCCTAAAATCTGAGCTGTGCCACCCTGGCTGAAAGATTTCTCACGTGCCTAAAATCCAGGCTGTGCCACCCTGGCTGAGAGATTTCCCTCTGTTCCTAAAGTCCAGGCTGTGCCTAAAATCCAGGCTGTGCCACCCTGGCTGAGAGATTTCCCTCTGTTCCTAAAGTCCAGGCTGTGCCTAAAGTCCTGGCTAAGAGGTTTCCCTCTGTTCCTGAAGTCCAGACTGTGCCACCCTTGCTGGAAGATTGCCCACTGTGCTTAAAGTCCAGGCTGTGCCACCCTGGCTGAGAGATTTCCCTCTGTTCCTAAAGTCCAGGCTGTGCCTAAAATCCAAGCTGTGCCACGCTGGCTGAAAGATTTCTCACGTGCCTAAAATCCAGGCTGTGCCACCCTGGCTGAGAGATTTCCCTCTGTTCGTAAAGTCCAGGCTGTACCTAAAATCTAGGCTGTGCCACCCTTGCTGAAAGATTGCCCACTGGGCCTAAAGTCCAGGCTGTGCCTAAAGTCCAGGTTGTGCCACCCTGGGTAAAAGATTGCCCAGTGCCAGGTGCAGGATTTGGGATGCCAGGTGCAGTATTATATGTAATGTAATATAGTATAACTGTATAATATATATTATGTTGTATTGATTATGTAATATATAGTAATATATAGTGACATATAAAATAGATAACTCATTATATTCTATATTATATACTATATACTATATATAATATAGTATGTAATATATAATATAGTATATAATATAGTATATAGTATAGTATATAATACAGTATATAATATTATATACTATATATAATATAGTATATAATATAGAATATATAACGTTATATATTATACATTATATATTATATATAATGTAATATAATAGCATATAGTATAACTATATAATGTAGTTATACATTATATTATGTTATATTACATTTATTATATAATATATAATAATATAGAATTATATAGAATATAGAATAATTATATAATATGCAATAAAATGATGTATTATACTTATATTTATTTATTACATTACATTATATTACATTATATTATGCATATTCTAATATATATAATATATAATCTTCTAAACTAATACAACTTTCTAATCTATTATTTTTCTGCTTCATGTCTGTGTATTGTATTTTTACAATTATAATAATTCAGTTGTAATACCATTACAATGCAGTTATAATGCAGTATATTATAATACATAATTAATATATAATATATTTTATAATAGAGTTATAATGCAGTTGTGATGCAGTTATAATACAATTATAATACAGTTGTAATACAATTATAATACAGTTATAATTCTGTATATTATAATACATAATATATAATACAATACAGTTAAAATACAATTATAATAAAATTATAATACAGTTATAATGTAATTATAATGCAGTATATTATAATACATTCTTAATATATATATTAAGATTATATATATTATAATACAGTCATAATACAGTATTTATATATATATTATATTACAGGTATAGATATATTATATTACAGTTATATATATATTATATTACAGTTATATATATTATAATACATATTACATGTATTATAATACAATCACAATTCAATTCTAATACAGCTACAATAACATTTTTACAACATTTACATCAACCCAAGCTTCTCTTAAGGCTGCAGCTCCAGCCCTTCAGTGGGAATTTCCATTTTCCCCATTCCCACAGCCAGGGCTGTCCCTGCTCAGTGTGTCCCTGTCCCCTGCTCAGTGTGCCATCTGTCCCTGTCCCCACAGACTCGGGCACCGAGGTGGTGGAGGACCCCAACGGCAAGACCTTCACGGTGACCAGCAGGGTGGAGTTCCGTGTCACCAAGGAGGACAACGAGGTCGAGGTCACCTGCACCGTGGACCACGAGTCCCTGCAGAACTCAGAGAGGTCCACCACGCAGAAGCTGCAGGTCCACTGTACGTGGGGGCACGTTTGGGGTGGGCTGGGGGTTCGGGGGGCACCACACAGGTGGTCTGGTGGGCTCAGGGACACGTGGACGTCGTGGTCCTGTCACACATGGGGCACGGTGACACTTCCCCTGCATGGTGACACTTCCCCTGCATGGTGACACTTCCCCTGCATGGTGACACTTCCTCTGCATGGTGACACTTCCCCTGCATGGTGACACTTCCCTTGCATGGTGACACTTCCCCTGCATGGTGACACTTCCCTTGCATGGTGACACTTCCCCTGCATGGTGACACTTCCTCTGCATGGTGACACTTCCCCTGCATGGTGACACTTCCCCTGCATGGTGACACTTCCCTTGCATGGTGACACTTCCCTTGCATGGTGACACTTCCTCTGCATGGTGACACTTCCCCTGCATGGTGACACTTCCTCTGCATGGTGACACTTCCCTTGCATGGTGACACTTCCCCTGCATGGTGACACTTCCTCTGCATGGTGACACTTCCCCTGCATGGTGACACCCACACCCTCAGCTTCCCACCCCTGTCCCCAAATCCTGCTTGTCCCCATCTCCCAGAGGTTTGTCCCTCTCCACTTCCCTCATCCTGTCCCCACATCCTGCTTGTCCCCAAATCCTGCTTGTCCTTCTCCACTTCCCTCATCCTGTCCCCAAATGTGGATTTGGGGTGCCAGAGGCAGGATTTGGGATCCCAGGAGCAGAATTTGGGGTGCCAGGGCAGGATTTGGGATCCCAGAAGCAGGATTTGGGGTGCCAGGGTAGGATTTGGGATCCCAGGTGCAGGATTTGGGATCCCAGGTGCAGGATTTGGGATCCCAGGTGCAGGATTTGGGATCCCAGGTGCAGGATTTGGGATCCCAGGTGCAGGATTTGGGATGCCAGGGCAGGATTTAGGATTCCAGGGCAGGATTTGGGATCCCAGGGTAGGATTTGGGGTTTCTAAGTGCAGGATTTGGGGTGCCAGGGCAGGATTTGGGGTGCCAGGGGCAGGATTTGGGATCCCAGGAGCAGAATTTGGGGTGCCAGGGCAGGATTTGGGATCCCAGAAGCAGGATTTGGGGTGCCAGGGCAGGATTTGGGGTTCCAGGGTAGGATTTAGAATCCCAAGTGCAGGATTTGGGGTGCCAGGGCAGGATTTGGGGTGCCAGGCCCTCACCCCACTGTTCCTCTCCCCCTTTTCCAGACAAGCCCACGGCGAAGATCGAGCCGCACCCGCAGTACCCACGGGAGGGGGAGAAGCTGCAGCTGCAATGTGACGGGCAGGGCAACCCCATGTAAGGCCTTCCTCACCTCCCTCCTCCTCCTCAGGGCCTCCCCTCCCTCTGCCTGGTCCCACAGTGAGCCCCAGGAGGTGCTGGGTGGGTTTGGGGTGTCCTGGGGGTTCCATGAGAGCTCCCTGTCCTCTCCTGGAGCAGCAGATCCATCCTGGCTTGTCCCTAAATTAAACATTTCCCCCTTTGTGCCCTGGGACATCCTCAAGGAGCTGGAACTCAACAGAAAAACCCCGAGATGTCAGTTTATCCCCATCTAATTCCTGTAGGATTTTATCTTCCCCACCCTATAAAAAGATCCCAGTAACACTAAGATAAAGCTAAACACAAAAACTGGAACCCTGAGATATCAATTTATCCCCATCCCATTCCTGTAGGATTTTGTCTTTCCCACCCTACAAAAAGATTCTAGTGACATTAATATAAAGCCAAACAGGAAAACCCCAAGGAATCAGTTTATCCCATACTGTTCCTATAGGATTTTGTCTTCCCCACCTTGTGAAAAGATCCCAGTAACATTAATACAAAACCAAACAGAAAAACAAAGCAGGAAAACTTAAACACAACAGAAAACCCCCAGGGTATCAGAACAGAAAAACCCCAAGGTATCAGTTGATCCCCATCCCATTCCTGTAGGATTTTATCTTCCCCACCCTATAAAGAGATCCCAATAACAGAAAAACAAAGCAGAAAAACTTAAACACAACAGAAAAACCCCAGGGTAACAGAACAGGAAAACCCCCAAGGTATCAGTTTACCCCATCCCATTCCTGTAGGATTTAATTTTTCCCACCCTATAAAAAGATCCTAGTGACATTAATACAAAACCAAACAGAAAAACAAAGCAGGAAAACTTAAACACAACAGAAAACCCCCAAGGGGTCAGAACAGAAAACCCCCAAGGGATCAGAGCAGAAAACCCCCAAGGTATCAGTTTACCCCATCCCATTCCTATAGGATTTTATCTTCCCCACCCTATAAAGAGATCCCAGTAACATTAATATAAAACTAAACAGAAAAACAAAGCAGAAAAACTTAAATACAACAGAAAACCCCCAAGGTGTCAGTTGATCCCCATCCCATTCCTATAGGATTTTATCTTCCCCACCCTATAAAGAGATCCCAGTAACATTAATATAAAACTAAACAGAAAAACAAAGCAGAAAAACTTAAACACAACAGAAAACCCCCAAGGTGTCAGAACAGAAAACCCCCAAGGTATCAGAGCAGAAAACCCCCAAGGTATCAGTTTACCCCATCCCATTCCTGTAGGATTTAATCTTACCCACCCTATACAAAGGTCCCAATAACATTAATATAAAACAGAACAGAAAAATTTCAACACAACAGGAAACCCCCAAGGTATCAGTTGATCCCCATCCCATTCCTGTAGGATTTTGTCTTCCCCACCCTATAAAGAGATCCCATTAACACAAAGCTGAGCAGAGGAACGGAAGCCCCAAGGAACGGTTTGTGCCCAGCCCGCAGGAATTCCTCTGGGAGAAGGAGGGCAGCGACGCTCCCCTGCAGCTCAGCTCCGACAGCGTCCTCATCTTCCCCTTCCTCAACAAGAGTGACAGTGGCACCTACGTGTGCACGGCCACCAGCTCCATGGGCAGCGTGGTGGCCAAGTACAACCTGGACGTCAGCGGTGAGTGTGGCCCCAGTGGCGCTGTGTGCCCAAAAAGTGTCACTGTGTCACCTGTGCGCCGGAGGCACTGCGTCCTGTGTGCCCAAAAAGTGTCACCGTGTCATTGTGTCAGCTGGGCACAGGGGGCACTGCGTCCTGTGTGCCCAAAAAGTGTCACCGTGTCACTGTGCGCCGGGGGCACTGCATCCTGTGTGCCCAAAAAGTGTCACCGTGTCATCTGTGGATGTGTATACAGGGGGCACTGTGTCCTGTGTGCCCAAAAAGTGTCACCGTGTCACCTGTGGATGTGTATACAGGGGGCACTGTGTCCTGTGTGCCCAAAAAGTGTCACCATGTCACTGTGTCACCTGTGGGTGTGTATACAGGGGGCACTGTGTCCTGTGTGCCCAAAAAGTGTCACCGTGTCACTGTGTCAGCTGGGCACAGGGGGCACTGTGTCCTGTGTGCCCAAAAAGTGTCACTGTGTCATCTGTCGATGTGTATACAGGGGGCACTGTGTCCTGTGTGCCCAAAAAGTGTCACCGTGTCATTGTGTCAGCCGGGCACAGGGGGCACTGCCTCCTGTGTGCCCAAAAAGTGTCACTGTGTCATCCGTGCGCCGGAGGCACTGTGTCCTGTGTGCCCAAAAAGTGTCACCGTGTCATTGTGTCAGCCGGGCACAGGGGGCACTGCCTCCTGTGTGCCCAAAAAGTGTCACTGTGTCACCCTGACACTTGTCCTGGGGTGGGAAGGGGTGGCTGCTGCTGCTCCCCACTTGGTGCTGTCCCCTGACTGTGCTCTGCTTGTCCTTGTGTCCCCATGCCATGTGTCACGTGTGGTTCAGGGCTCTCTGTGTGTCTCCATGTCCCCATGGATTGGTGAGACCAGACTCTGTGTGTCCCCATGTCCCCATGCAGTGGTGAGACAGGGCTGTGTGTGTCCCCATGTCCCCATGTGTCACACATGGTTCAGGGCCTTGTGTGTGTGTCCCCATGTCCCCATGCCATGTGTCACACGTGGTTCAGGGTTCTCTGTGTGTCCCCATGCAGTGGTGGGACAGGGCTGTGTGTGTCCCCATGTCCCCATGTGTCACACGTGGTTCAGGGCCATGTGTGCTGTGTGCTGCTGCCAGTGCCACCCCTGGCTGCCACCCCAGCCCGTGCCCACCCCACATGATCCCATTTCCCTGGCATTTTTCCTTGGATTTGGGAAATCCAAAGGAACTCCAGAGGTTCCTGCTCTCCTCCTCCCCTCTCCATCTCTCTCTCCCGGTCCCTGCTCCTGCTCTTCCCTTTCCTCCTTCCCTGCACAGCAGTGGCACCCCAGTGGCACTTTGTCCCCTGTGTCCCCTCCCTCAGCCTGCCCAGAACGATCTCCCAAATGCCCAACCCTGTGCAGCCACTCCCGTGTCACCCCTTGTGTGTCCCCTGTGTCCCCTGTGTGAGCACCCAGAGCTCTCTGCACCATCCAGGAGCTCACCCCGGGTGCCTCGTGCTGTCCTTGAGAGGTGTCACCCGCTGTCCCCTGCCCGCCTGGTGGCACCACCCCTGTCACAGCAGACACAGAGCACCGTATCCAGCCTTGGTGGAACTCCCACCTGGTCCCCAAAGCCACTCGTGTCTCAGGCCCTGGGAGCCACCTCCAGCCTTGCCCACCTTGGTGCCATCCCTGTAGTCCCCAAGGACATGCACAGGTGACACCTTATCATGGGTGACACCACGAGGGTTCCTCAGGTGGTAACCAGGACAGGAGATGGCAGAAGATGGTCACAGTGTCCCAAAGGTTGGTGGCAGAAGGACATGGGGTCCCTAAAGCCACTCGTGTCTCAGGCCCTGGGAGCCACCTCCAGCCTTGCCCACCTTGGTGCCATCCCTGGGTCCCCAAGGACGTGCACAGGTGACACCTCATCATGGGTGACACCACGAGGGTTCCTCAGGTGGTAACCAGGACAGGAGATGGCAGAAGATGGTCACAGTGTCCCAAAGGTTGGTGGCAGAAGCAGAGGGACCCGTGAGGGTCACCGATGGCCCCGCTGAGGGTCCCCTCAGGGCTCTGTCACCTCACTGGCCCTTCGTGGCATTGATCCATGTCCTGTGTTTTTGTTGTCCTCCCCAGATCTTCCCCAGCTCCCCACCCCACACGTTCACTCCACCCGGGGCCCTTCCCAGCCCATCTCTCATGCTTCCATGGCCTCGGCTCCATCCTTCACTCCAGCTCCCATCCAAGGTACCGTAAGCTCCTTTTCTGTCTCTTTGACCCGGAGAAGCTCCACAGGAGGACGGTGGCCCCGCCCTGGCCTGGGGACAGCCCTGCCAGGTGGCTCCAGCCCCGTGGTCTGTGTGGATTTTGGCGTTTTCCAGGAGGAACCCTGAGCAGCAGCTCCCCGAGCTGTCCCTCGTCCTGTGTGTCCGTGTGCCGTGTTGTCCCTCTGTCCTGCTGCCTCCCCTGTGTGTCCCCCGCCTTGTCCTTCCCAAATGTGGCTCTGTCCCCACCCTGAGCTGATGGGGCACAGCGGGAGGAGGGATTCTGGCACGGAATGGAATGTCCTTCCACTGGATTCCCCACCCAGGACAGGATGTGGCTGACTCAGGACCTCCTTTGGGGTCCTGCCGTCCTTGGGGGTGCCATCACCTCTCAGGGTGGCCGTGCCAGCCTTCATGTCCCCTCCCACCCAAACCTGCTCTTCCTCCCTTTCTTGGGGCCAAAACCCCACTGTGGAGGATGGGATTTCCATTTTGCTTTTTGATTTTTTATTTTTATTTTTGTGGAAGATGAGATTTCCCCTTTGCTCCCCGCCGTTCTCGCTGCCAGGACCCACAGCAGGACGGAGCTGCTGGCACAGGATGGAGCTCCTGGTGGGGAGCAGCAGCTCCTGCTGCCCTGCAGGGTCTCAGCTCTTGTGTGTCTTTTTTCTCTCCCCCTGCCTGGGCAGATGCCAGCCCGGTGCCCTCCACCTCCAGCACCTACCACGCGATGATCGGCGGGGTGGTGGCTGTCATCGTCTTCCTCCTGCTCAGCCTCCTCATCGTGCTGGGACATTACCTGATCAGGCACAAAGGTACGGCCCGGGGGGGCTGCAGGGGGGGCTGCAGGAGCCCTCGGGGCTCTTGGGGCAGCTCCTGGTCCTGCCCGAGGTGTGGGAATGTCAGGAATGTCCCGGTGAATGCACGAAGCTCCCACCCCTGCTCTCCATCTCTGCTCCACACCCACTGTCCCCGGATTGTCCCTGTCCCTGTGTCCCCCTCAGCTCCTCCCTCTGCCTTCCTCCTCCTCCTCCTCCTCCTCCTTTCCCTCCACCTGCCCTTTTCATGCCCAGCAGGTTTGTGCCCAAGCCCTGGGGACACGGTGACACCCCCCACCCTGCTCTGGGGGGCAGCCAGGACCCCCTGCTTCTCCAGGAGGGCTTGGGGGGGGTCAGGAGCCTGACTGGCACTGGTCACTCCACAAGTGGACACTGCCCAGAAACCTGGAGCACCCCAGTGAGTCTGCATCCCATCCCATCCCATGGATCCCATCCCATCCCACTGATCCCATCCCATCCTATTGATCCCATCCCATCCCATGGATCCCATCCCATCCCACTGATCCCATCCCATCCTATTGATCCCATCCCATCCCATGGATCCCATCCCATCCCATTGATCCCATCCCGTTGATCCCATCCCATCCCATCCCACTGATCCCATCCCATCCTATTGATCCCATCCCATCCCATGGATCCCATCCCATCCCTTGGATCCCGTCCCATTGATCCCATCCCATGGATCCCACTGATCCTATCCCATTGATCCCATCCCATCCCATCCCATGGATCCCATTGATCCCATGGATCCCATTGATCCCATCCCATCCTATCCTATCCCATTGATCCCATCCCATCCCATCCCATCCCATCCCATCCCATCCCATCCCATCCCATCCCATCCCATGGATCCCATTGATCCCATCCCATCCCATCCCAGTGACTTCCCTGCTGCAGCCAAGCCCAGCGGAGCCCTCCAGGCACTCTGTGTGTGTGGGAGGGGGCGCTGGCAGAGCCCCCCGTGACCCCCAACCCTGTCCCCTGTCCAGGCACGTACCTGACCCACGAGGCCAAAGGCTCGGACGACGCTCCGGACGCCGACACCGCCATCATCAACGCCGAGGGCGGCCAGGCCGGCGGCGACGACAAGAAGGAATATTTCATCTAAAAGGGTCAGAGAGAGAGAGAGAGAGAGAGAGAGAGAGAGAAATGGAGCCAAGAGAACCCCGATGGCAACGGCAACCAGACCACAAACCCCACAAAACCCAACAGATTTTCTCTGGCGCCCGGCACGGGCGGACGGACGGACGGACAGAGGGATGGCGGGACAGAGAGCAGGGAGAGCCACCGGCCTCGAGGCGCTGCTGACGCTTCTCGAACTTGTACAAATCCTTCACTCCAACAGCGAGAGCCCCGGCCCCGTTTGCTTGCTTGCACCTCCATCCCCACGCCCCGACCCCACAGACCCACCCGTGAGTGAGCGACTTCTTCCTTTTGGACCTTTTTTTTATTTTATTTTTTGGCTTTGGTTTCGTGGCTGCTCTTTGCTTCGGGCCCTTGGTTGGGGTGTTGGGCTGGGGTCGATGTAGCTCTTCCCTTTGTTTCTCTCCCTTTTGGTTTCTTTGATATCCAAGGATAAAATCAGCTCCGGGTTCCCGGGGTGAGGTTGGGATCCTGGGTGTCCCCGTTGTCCCCTCCCTGTGGCGGGGGCGGGTGACTCCAGGTGGGAGCAGAGCGAGACCCTGCCCCGATTTTATCCTTGGTGGTTCTTGTGGAGCAGTGTCCATGCGGGAGCAGAGCTGTCCTCGTGCAGTCAGTGTGTGAAAGGGGGTGAAAGCCCAGGGTGGGACCCCCAGAGACACCAGGAGCCCCCACAGCTCCCTGGTCCCACCCCAGCGGGAGGGGGGAGGGCTGAGGTTTATTTTGGGGGGGGGCAAATCTAGAGGAAAAGCCCCCAACTTTTATTTATTTTTATTTTTTTTCTTAAATTCTCTGATTGGAAATGCCAATTTTAACCATCTATTGAGATGTTCAGTGCAGGAGGCAGCGCCCCTGGGGCTGGGGCTGCTTCCCTGGGACCCCCAGATCAGGGCTGGGGTCTCTCTGCCCCCCTTCCCTCCCCAGCCCCTTCCCAGGGCAGGGATGAGCTTGGAAAGGGCTGATTTTCTTCTTGGCTCTGAGAACCCCAACCAAAACACCTGGATTTGGGGTCTGGGGAGTTTGGGGTCACCACAGAGGCTTTGGAGGAGGGTTCACCCTTCTTCCTTGCCCTTCCTCCTGCCTCTTTCACCTTCACTTCCAAGACAAAACCAAACACCTTTCCCCACCTCTCCAGCCCAGCCCCCCCAAACCAGGCACCCCCGGGATGGGGCTGCCCCCCCTGGCATCCTTAGGGCACCCCCAGCCTTGGCATGAGGTGTTCTGGGATCCCACGTGCCAGTCTGGGCACAGGGGGGTTGCAGGAGATGCCCCTGGGCTGGGCACCCCCTGGATTTGGGGTTGTGTGGAGGATGAAAAGACCCTTTGGGAAGGGGTAACCTCACCTTGGGAGGTCACCCCGTGGATTTGGGGTTGTGTGGAGGATGAAAAGACCCTTTGGGAAGGGGTAACCTCACCTTGGGAGGTCACCCCGTGGATTTGGGGTCACCTGAAGGAGAAGGAACCCTTTAAGAAATGGGTAACCTCACCTTGGGAGGTCACCCCGTGGATTTGGGGTTGTGTGGAGGATGAAAAGACCCTTTGGGAAGGGGTAACCTCACCTTGAGAGGTCATCCCATGGATTTGGGGTTGTGTGGAGGAGAGGAACCCTTTGGGATGGGGGTAACCTCAGCTGGGAGGTCACCCCGTGGATTTGGGGTCACCTGAAGGAGAAGGAACCCTTTAAGAAATGGGTAACCTCACCTTGGGAGGTCACCCCGTGGATTTGGGGTCATCTGGAGGATGAAAAGGCCCTTTGGGAAGGGGTAACCTCACCTTGAGAGGTCATCCCATGGATTTGGGGTTGTGTGAAGGAGAGGAACCCTTGGAGAGGGAGTAACCTCATCTTGGAAGGTCACCCCATGAATTTTAGGAGGGGTAACCTCACCTAGAAGGTCACCCCATGGATTTGGGGAGGGGTAACCTCACCTGGAAGGTCACCCCATGGATTTGGGGAGGGGTAACCTCACCTGGGAGGTCACCCCATGGATTTGGGGTCATCTGGAGGAGAAGGAACCCTTTAAGAAACAGGTAACCTCAGTTGGGAGGTCACCCCATGGATTTGGGGAGGGGTAACCTCACCTGGGAGGTCACCCCATGGATTTGGGGTCGTCTGGAGGATGAGGAGGCCCTTCAGGAAGGAGGTGGGCTGGAAGCCTCACCTGTGAGGTGCAGGAAGAATTTCACCACCTCTTCCACAGGGCTGGAAGTGCCACCCCCCAAACCCTGCCAGCGCCTGGCACCTGTGCCACCTGGCTCAGGTGAGGCAGAGGAGGCCCCGTTGGTGCCACACACAGGTGGCACCGAGGGATGTGACACTGGGGACACTGCAGAGGTGACCAGCGTGGCTCAGCTGTGGTGCTGGCACTGGGAAGGAGCAGGACACGGAGATTTTGAGGTGTTTTTTTGCTGGGTACAGCCATTTTTGGGGTGTTTTTCCTCCTTTCCAACCTCCGGGGGATGAATCCCGGGGCTGCCAACAACACTTGAGGTCCCCAGGACTGAGTCATTCCTGCAAATAAACCCCCCCAAGATGTGTTCTCCAGCAGAATTCCATCTCCTGGGGGGCTGCAGGGGTCCCAGGCAGAGCCAGGAGCAGGGGTGGGAGCGGGGCAGGAGGTCCCTGGGGCAGGAGGTGGGAGCTGCCAGGGACAGGGGGGCTTTTCCCTCTTGGAATGCAGTTCCTCGCTGGTTCTGCTGCTCCAGAGCTGCTCCAAAGGAGAACAGCCTGGTCTTGGTGCTTTTGAGGTGGTTTTGGTGGTTTTGGCGTTTTTGAGGTGGTTTTGGTGGTTTTGAGGTGGTTTTGGTGGTTTTTACATGGTTTTGAGGTGGTTTTGAGGTGGTTTTGGTGGTTTTCACATGGTTTTGAGGTGGTTTGGTTGGTTTTGAGGTGTTTTTGAGGTGTTTTTGAGGTGCCACGTGCTGTGGGGTGTGGCAGGGCAGCCCGGGGATCAGGCAGGGCCCTGTGGAGGTGTCACCTGGCCCGGTGTCACCTGCAGGTCACAGAGAGGGACTGGGAGGGCTCCAAGATTCCATCTGAGGCCACTGGAGGCAGCGGGAACCAAAGGGTTTGGTGGAGCTGGGAGCGGTGGAGGAGATTTGTGTCACACCTGGGGGTGACACCAGCGTGGCCCTGGGGTGACAGGGACCCTCCCGAACTGGGAGGACTCCAGGTGGAAGCTGTGACAGGGACACTCCACGTCACCACGGTGACAGCGAGTCCCTGACCCTTTTGGGGTCACTCTGTGGAGTCCTTGGGGGTGACAGACACCCCGTGTCACAGAGGAGCTGGAGGTGACAAGTGAGCTGTGGCCCCTGTCCTTGTCCCCTTGGGGGTTGGTGACACCACACTGTAGCTATGACAGGCATGACACCACACGCAGGGCAGGTGGCAGGGTCAGTGTCACCGTGTCTGGGACAGCCCAGGGGGTCCTTGGTGGCCCCACATCCACCCAGGCACGGGCGTTGGGTCACCAGGAGGATTTGGGGACCCCCTGGGAGGCCGTGGCTGCTTCCTGGCCGGCACTGAACTCTCAATAGACACGAAAGCCATATTTTGGGGAGCTCTGGAGAGGCCAGGGTGGGGGCCAGAGGCTGGGCTGTGTTGTTGTGCTGTGTTTTTTTGTCTGTACATAAAAGGGAGCCAACGACCGTCGATGTGACTTTATAACCTTTCTAATATCCTGTGCTAATCTCGGAAAATAATCCTATAAATATATCTGGATTACACACCTTACCTGCCTGCCTCTCTGCATTTGGGGATGGGGGAGTTTTGGGTGGGGGTTGGTGGGACAGGGGGACAGAGATCAGCCCCCCACCCTCAAACCTCCCAGCCCACCCCCAGACCCACCACTCCTCAGCCCCCCCAAAATTGCCAATTCTCAGACTCCCCTCAACCTTTTCCCTCCCCAATGCCCTCCCAGCCCCTCAGAGCCCCCTCATCCCCTCCCAAATTTCCCAGTTCCCCCCAAAGAGCAGTGAACCCCAAAGCCCTGGAGGCTCCCAGTGTTTTCACCCCCAAATCTGCCCCTCAGAGACCCCCAAATCCTGGCCCCCAGCCCTCCCCAAACAGCAGCCACCCCAATTCCCACCCCCTGGAGCTCCCCAGGCCTTTCACCCCCAAATTTCCTCCACAGCCCCTCCCAAACTGTCCCTTCCCAGCACTTTCACCCCCAAATATCCTCTCAGCCCCTCCCAAATTACCCCCAGAACCCCAATTCCCACCCCCGGAGCCCCCCCAGCCCTGCTCCTCCCCAGGGATGTTCCTCTAAGGATGTCCCTGAAGGCCACCAAGGCCACCAGCCCTGTCACCAAGCTGTCACAGGATGACCCTCGGGAGCCCTTCCTTCCTCTCGAGGAAATTCCAGGCTCCAGAGCGGGGGGGGGTCCCCTCAGTGCCCACCCCCATCCTGCACCCCAAACCCCTCCCTGGAGCTGGCCGGAGCGTGTGGAAAGACAATTAATCCCTAATTAATTTCACTTGTCCTGCCAAGAATTGATCGTTTCCTGCCCGAGAAACTGCGGCGGCTTTCCCGGCAGCGCCATTCCCTGTTTTTCCGCCGGGTGCCAGGGCGGGAGAGGGCAGGGCGGCTCGGGGGCACCTCTGGGGGCACCTCTTATCTCCTGCCCGCACTCCTCGGCTCCCTTTGGAGCGGGAGGAGCGGAGCCGAGGCGGGGAGAGCCGAGAAGTCACCCCCAAAACACCTCGTGGCACGTGGGTGCCCTGTCCGAGTGACCACCCCTGAGTGACCACTCCGGTGCCACCCCCGGTGCCACCCCCGGCACCCAGCGGAGCCCCCAGACTCGTGGGAAAGCCATCATGGGCAATTGTGTCCCCGTGGTGAGTGACCCCCCCCCACCCCCAAAATTTCTGTCCCTGGGGGTGTCACATCCCCGTGGAGGGGAGGGCTGGGGGCACGGGGGGTTTGGGGGTGCTCGGTGTGAGGAGGAGTGTGGGGGTCCCCCAGTTCTGGGCAGGATCACGGGAATCTCCAGTGGGGTTTAGGGGAGTTGAGTGGGGTTTAGGGGGTCCCTGGGGACCTTAAGAGGGGTCACAGGGAGTCCCCAATTCTGAGCAGGATCATGGGGGTCCACAGTAGGATTTAGGGGAGTTGAGAGGGGTTTAGGGGGTCCCTGGTGTTGAGTGGGGTTTAGGGGATCCCTGGTGCTGAGCAGGACCACGGGAATCCCCAGTGCCCAGTGGGATTTAGGGGATTTTTGGGGTTTAGGAGTCCCCAGCACTGAGCAGAGCCCTGAGGGTCCCCCGTTCTGAGCAGGACCATGGGAATCTCCAGTGGGATTTAGGGGAGTTGAGTGAGGTTTAGGGGATCCTTGGGGACCCTCAGAGGGGTCACAGGGAGTCCCCAGCACTGAGCAGAGCCCTGAGGGTCCCCCGTCCTGAGCAGGACCATGGGGATCCCTGGTGCTGAGCAGGATCACAGGAATCTCCAGGGCCCAGAGGGGTTTAGGGGATTTTGGGGGTTTAGGGGATTTTTGGGGTTTAGGAGCCCCCAGTTCTGAGCAGAACCACGGGGGTCCGTGTCCCCACAGGATCTGTGCCCACCCTCCGGGCTCTGCATCCTCCCCGCGTCCCTCCTGTGGGACAACGGTCCCATCCCGGCCCCACCCCGCACCCGGCTGTCCCCAGCCGTGTCCCCGTGTGTCCCTCCCTGATAACCCGCCCTGCCCTGCCCAGCCCAGCCCTGCCCGCCATCCCCACACCGGGGGCGGCCCCACGGCCGGGACCCGGGCGATGTGGCACCTGCCCGACGCCCGCCCCCCTCACCCGCAGACCCCCGGCATCCTGGAGACCCCGGACTCCCTGGACCTGGGGGAAATCACGGGCAACCTCTCCTCCTTCTACGACGACGACACTTACATCAACGACACCCTCCTGGACTACGACGCCACACCCTGCCACAACCGCTTCTGTCCCCTCTTCCAGCGCGTGGCCCCCCCTTTCCTGGCCGCCACCTGCGCCGCGGCCGCGCTGGCCACCGGCGCTTTGCTGGTGGCCCTGGCCAAGCGTCCCCAAGCGTGGCGGTGGCCGCAGAGCCGAGCGCTGGTGGCACAGCTGGCGCTGGGCACGGCGCTGTTCGCGGCGCTGCTGCCGGCGCTGGCCGCGGGCGTGGCGCGGGGTTGGCACCTGGGCACGGGGCTGTGTCGCCTCACGCACCTCCTGTGGCACTGGAGCGTCTTCGCCCAGGCGCTGCTGGTGGCCAGCGGCTCCTGCGGCACCGCCTGGGCTCGCTGGGACCCCGGGAGCCGCCGCTTGGCCGTGGCGCTGTGGGCAGCGGCGCTGCTCTTGGCCACTCCGGCCGCTCTGGTCAGCGGCGTGGCGGCGGGCACCGCCTGCGTCCGGCGCAGCGTGGGCATCCTGGCACCGGCTTACCTGCTGCACCTGGCCCTGTGTCTGTGCCTGCTGCTGCTGCTGCCCGCGGGGCTGCTGGTGGCCGCGCTCTGCCCCAGGGCGAGCGGAGCCGGGCTCGCCTGGCTCTTCCTGGGGCTCTGGGGGCCCTACGGAGCGGGGCTGGCCGGGGAGTTCGTGCTGCAGGCCGGGCTGCTGGAGCCCACCTGCGGCTCCTTCGAGCATTTCGACATCGCGCTGGGGCTGAGCGAGGGGCTGGGGGTGCTGCACTGCGGCCTCGGGCCCCTGGCGCTGCTGCTCGCCCGGAGCTGCCGCCGCGATGCCGGTGCTGCCGGGGGCTGCTGAGCTCCGGGGGCTGCGGAGAGCCGGGACCGCCAAACTCCGGGAATGCCGAGCTCCGGGACTGCCAAGCTCCGGGGGCTGCACCGCGGAGCCAAACGGACCCCCGGCACTGAGCCCCGGCCCCCTGGCACTAGATTTGGACCCCTGGCACCAGATTTGGCACCCTGGATCCTGGGCACCAACCTTGGCCACTCAGCACTGACCCCTGGCCACCTGGCACAAGCCTTGGCACCCTGGCACTGCCCCCTGGCCCCACTGTGCCCCCCCGGCCCCACAGCCTCTGTCCCACACCCAACACTCCCCCAGGACCCCCCCGTTCTGTGCCCTCTGTCCCCTCCCTTGGGGTCTCAGCCCCCTTTTTGGGGCCAGACCCCCCCACTGCCCAGCACAGACAGCCCTGGGGTGCCTCAGGCTGCCCGGGGGGGGTCACCCCAGACCCCTGGGGGATCCCCGAGGCTCAGCCCGCCCCCACTCCAGGGGGGGATTACGAAAGTGATGGGATTTTTTCCATCTCTCCTGACAAGCCAAGAGGATCCAGTGGGAATTAAACACAAATAAACACAACTGCCAGAGGCACTCGTCCAGCCCAGTTAATGCACTGGATGGGACTGGGCGGTGATGGGGGGACGGGAAACGGGGGGTGTGTGCTCCTCGTGCCTCCAAATTGGCAGGAAAAGTCCCTAAGGAAGCTGTGGAGCCTGCCGGGGGGAGCGGGGGCATTGATACCCAGAGCCCACGAGGGCCGGGCGCGTGCAGTCACGGGTGTGACACGGGCACAGGAGTGGGGACAATGGGGCTGCTCTGCCCGAGCCAAGCCCTGGAGGAGCTGGGGGATTGATCAATGGGGAATGAACCCACATTGTCCCCAGAATTTGGGATCCATCAAACCCCTGCAGGGACTCTACACCCCCAGCCCAGCACCATCATTTGGAGCAGGCAAAACCTTCCCCCTTCCCATCTGCCTGTCCCCTTGGGCCACCATGGTCACCCCAGGACACTCGGCCACCTGCTGTCCATGGCTCCATCTCAGTCCCCTCGGGCAGGACAGGCAGAGCAGAGCCCGGGATGTGCCCCCCGAGCTGCGGCTCAGGGCAGGGGGCACAAGGGAACCTTTCCCTGCACCCCTCGGATGATCCCGAATCGAACCACGTCCCTCCAATGGGGGTTTGCCCAGAGCAGGCACACCTGGGGAAGGAGTGCCCATGGCTGCGGTGTCCCTGTCACCCGGGTGGGCACAGAGCTGGGATGTCCCTGTCCCCCGGGAGAAGGGGACACACCCAGGGCACAGCTCCAAGGGCAGCCCCGTGCGGGCGGGTGACCCCAGGTCTTGTGGCACGGCCGCGTGATGGCATGAAATCACCCACCCTGGGCATGAAATCACCCTTCCCGGGCACGCCAGGCTGCTGAGGATGGGACTGGGGACATCCCCCCGGCAGTCCCCTCCCCTCCTCGGGCACATAAACCCGGCGGCAGCGCCGCGCCCGCCCGGCTCCAGCACCGACCATGGGCCACCTGCAGCTCTGGCTGCTCGTCCTGGCCGGGCTCGCGGGGATCGTGGCTCAGGAAGGTAGGGGGGACACCGGGGTGGGGGGACAGAAGGGGCAGAGTCCCAGGGGGGACACCCAGCAGCTCTCAGATCACTCTCAGCCAGCAGAGCTGGAGGATGCTGGAGCAGGGGACAGCCAGAGAGGGCTGTGGGACACGCCAGGCTCCCAGCAGGTCCCCTCTGTTGTCCCCAGACCTGTACCGAAAGGTGTTCGTGTTCCGGAAGGATCCCAGCGACGCCTTCGTGGTGCTGCAGGCGCAGCTGGAGCAGCCCCTGCGCAACTTCACCGTGTGCCTGCGCTCCTACACCGACCTCACCCGGCCACACAGCCTCTTCTCCTACGCCACCAAAGCCCAGGACAACGAGATCCTCCTCTTCAAACCCAAACCCGAGGAGTACCGCTTCTACGTGGGCGGAAAGTTTGTCACCTTCCGCGTCCCCGAGGGCCGCAGGGACTGGGAGCACGTGTGCGCCAGCTGGGAATCCGCCAGCGGCATCGCCGAGTTCTGGCTCAACGGCAAGCCCTGGCCGAGGAAGGGGCTGCAGAGGGGCTACACGGTGGGGGCCACGGCTGCCATCCTGCTGGGGCAGGAGCAGGACAGCTTTGGAGGTGGCTTTGACCTCTACAACTCCTTCTCGGGGGAGCTGAGCGACGTCTACCTGTGGGACACGGGGCTGTCGCCGGAGAAGATGCGCGCGGCCTTCCTGTCGCTGCGCCTGCCGCCCGCGCTGCTGGCCTGGAACAGCCTCAGCTACGAGGTCAAGGGAGATGTGCTGGTGAAAGCCCGGCTCCGGGAGGTGCTGGGGGCCTGAGGGCTGTGCGGTGTGGGGCAGGGGTGGCCTCGGTCCCCGCTGTCCCCTCCTCACGCCTGTCACTCACACCCATCTCCCCGTCACCGCTTCACCTCTACCACCCACCGCGAGGAAGGTTCCCCAGCTGGGGACAGGGTCCCCCGGAGTGCCACCAACACCTGGGGCACCCAGTCCCCTCCCCACGCCCCCCGAGCTGCCCCACGGCCGTCCCTGCACAGGCAGGACACGGATCCAGTGGCTCCAGCGCTGCCCAGCTCCATGTGGAGTCAGGAACGGGAAGGCTCCTCCCTTGGGGACAGGGGGACTGTCCCCAACCCACACTCACACGCCATTTCCCAACAGCCCTGGGGCTTGGGGACAAAGGTCAGTGTCACCACGAAAGTCACTGTCACTCTTGGGTGTCCTCGGAGCAGCTCTGGGTGGCTCCGAGGTCCCTCCTTTCCCACGGTGGTGACAGTGGCCGGGTTGGACAGTGCCATGGGGCCGCTGTGGCTCTGCCTCCTCATCCTCACAGCATTCCTTAGTCCCACGGCCCCACGAGGTGGTGGCAGAGGGACACCAGGACCCCCAGGGGGGCATGGGGACATGCAGGGGGGGTTATGGGGGCAGTGGGGCACCCTGAGTGCTCCAAAGGCGTGAGAGGTGGGGGCAAAGGGGGTATGGGGGAACCCACAAGGGGCACCCCGAGCTCTGCAAGGGGGGGCCATGCAGGGCACAGGGGTCTTGGCAAGGCTGGCAGGAGGGGACACGATGGCAAAGGGGCACCCTGAGGACCGAAATGGGGGACAGCAGGGACTCGACACCCTGTGCCACAGCTGGCGGTGACCCCAGGGGCTGACGCTGGAGGTCACCTCGGCGATGGCAGGAGCAGCTCACGCCTGTCACTCACACCCATCTCCCCGTCACCGCTTCACCTCTACCACCCACCGCGAGGAAGGTTCCCCAGCTGGGGACAGGGTCCCCCGGAGTGCCACCAACACCTGGGGCACCCAGTCCCCTCCCCACGCCCCCCGAGCTGCCCCACGGCCGTCCCTGCACAGGCAGGACACGGATCCAGTGGCTCCAGCGCTGCCCAGCTCCATGTGGAGTCAGGAACGGGAAGGCTCCTCCCTTGGGGACAGAGGGACTGTCCCCAACCCACACTCACACGCCATTTCCCAACAGCCCTGGGGCTTGGGGACAAAGGTCAGTGTCACCACGAAAGTCACTGTCACTCTTGGGTGTCCTCGGAGCAGCTCTGGGTGGCTCCGAGGTCCCTCCTTTCCCACGGTGGTGACAGTGGCCGGGTTGGACAGTGCCATGGGGCCGCTGTGGCTCTGCCTCCTCATCCTCACAGCATTCCTTAGTCCCACGGCCCCACGAGGTGGTGGCAGAGGGACACCAGGACCCCCAGGGGGGCATGGGGACATGCAGGGGGGGTTATGGGGGCAGTGGGGCACCCTGAGTGCTCCAAAGGCGTGAGAGGTGGGGGCAAAGGGGGTATGGGGGAACCCACAAGGGGCACCCCGAGCTCTGCAAGGGGGGGCCATGCAGGGCACAGGGGTCTTGGCAAGGCTGGCAGGAGGGGACACGATGGCAAAGGGGCACCCTGAGGACCGAAATGGGGGACAGCAGGGACTCGACACCCTGTGCCACAGCTGGCGGTGACCCCAGGGGCTGACGCTGGAGGTCACCTCGGCGATGGCAGGAGCAGCCACCTGTGTGTCACCTCTCCCTGACCTGGGCAGCTCGGTGTTCCCCCAAAAGTCCGAATGTGCCCACGTGCAGGTGACAGCCAAGCTGAAAAAGCCCCTGACCAACTTTGCCTTGTGCCTCAAGTCCTACACCGACCTCACCCGGCCACACAGCCTCTTCTCCTACGCCACCGAAACGCAGAGCAACGAGATCCTCCTCTTCAAGCCCAAAGCTGGCCAGTACAACTTCAACGTGGGCAACCAGTTCTTGTCCTTCACGGTGCCTGAAGTTCTCGGGGAGGTCGAGCACGTCTGCGTCAGCTGGGAATCCTCCACGGGCATCTCAGCTTCTGGCTCAACGGGAAGCGCCGGCCCAGGAAGGGGCTGCAGAAGGGCTACACGGTGGGAGGGCCGGCATCCATCGTGCTGGGGCAGGAGCAGGACAGCTTCGGGGGTGGTTTCGATGCCAAGCAGTCCTTCGTGGGGGAGATTTCATCCGTGTACATGTGGGATCTCCACCTTGGAGGCGGTGTGGGCCATGTACGACACACCTGGTGAAACCCCCGTCTTTGGCTGGAAGAATTTCCCCTCAAGATCGTGGGTGAGGTGTACCTGAAGCCCTGAGGTTGTGGGGGGTGCCCCCCGTCCCTGCTGTGTAACCCCCTCTCCCAAAGCCACCCAACACTGCATAAATGGAGAAATGTGGTTTTAGGGTTCTGGTGGTCTTTAGGGGTGTGGGAATTGTGATGGATCCAGGCTCAGAAGCTCCCTAGGGTGAGGAGGGAATAGGGGAAAGAATGCCCAGGCCAGAGCCAGCCAAACCAGATTTGGGGACATGGGGCTGAGCTGGGGACAGTCCTTGGGGGGGTTTGTGCACCCCTGGCAGCCCCCAGGCATGGTGGGGCTGGGGTAGAACTCAGGGGGCCAGGACTGTTGGGGGGCAGCCCTGGGACAACCCAGTGTCCCCAAGCTTGGGGAGGTTCAGTCCCATGTCCCAGAGCCCTGGGGCTGCAGTTCTGGAGCTCTTGGGGGGTTCAGCCCCGTGTCCTGAGGGACTCAGACCCAGAGCCCTGGGGGTGCAGTTCTGGAGCCCTTGGGGGGTTCAGCCTCATGTCCTGAGGGATCCAGACCCAGAGCCCTGGGGGTGCAGTTCTGGAGCCCTTGGGAGGATTCAAGCCCAGGGGTGCAGCTCTGTATCCTGGGGGTTCAGCCCTACAGCCCCGTGTCCCACACAGATCCGGAAGGTCCAGCCCTGGAGTCCCGAGGTGTTCAGTCCCGGAGCCCCGGGGTGGCAATCCCGCATCCCGAGGGCCTCAGTCCCGGAGCCCCGGGGGGCTCAGCTCCCTGTCGCGGGGGATTCAGCCCCCCATTCCTGCAGACCCCTGCCCCGGGGGGTTCCAGCTCGCTGTCCCGGAGGTTCAGCTCCGTGTCCCACAGCCAAGCAGCCGCGGGTCCCCCCCTTGTCCCCCCGACACCGATCCGACCTCCGCCGTGTCCCCTTTGTCCCCTGTGTCACCCCCGCGCCGCCTCCGACGCTCGCTGCGGCCTCGCCCGGCCCCGCTCCGGTCCCGCTCCCCCTCAGCTCCAGCCCGGCTTCGCCTCACTCCGCCTCAGCTCCGCCTCAGCCCGGGCCCCGTTCCGGCCCAGCTCCGCCTCAACCCGGGCCCCGTTCCGGCCCAGCTCCGCCTCAACCCGGGCCCCGTTCCGGCCCAGCTCCGCCTCAGGTCCGGCCCCGCTCCCCCTCAGCTCCTCCTCAGCTCCGGCTCAGCTCCCCCTCAGCTCCGGCCCGGCTTCGCCTCAGCTCCGCCTCAGCTCCGCCTCAGCTCCGGCCCCGCTCCCCCTCAGCTCCGGCTCAGCTCCGCCTCAGCCCGGGCCCCGTTCCGGCCCAGCTCCGCCTCAGCTCGGGCCCCGTTCCGGCCCTGCTCCGCCTCAGGTCCGGCCCCGCTCCCCCTCAGCTCCGGCTCAGCTCCGCCTCAGCTCCGGCCCCGCTCCCCCTCAGCTCCGGCTCAGCTCCGCCTCAGCCCGGGCCCCGTTCCGGCCCAGCTCCGCCTCAGCTCGGGCCCAACTCCGGACCCGCTCCTCCTCAGGTCCGGCCCGGCTCCCCCTCAGCTCCCCCTCAGCTCCGGCTCGGCTCCCCCTCAGCCCGGGCCCGGCTCCGCCTCACTCCGCCTCAGCTCCGCCTCAGCCCGGGCTCCGCTCCGGCCCCGCTCCGCCTCAGCTCTGCTTCAGCTCCGCCTCAGCTCCGCCTCAGCTCCGGCCCCGCTCCGCCTCAGCTCTGCTTCAGCTCCGCCTCAGCTCCGCCTCAGCTCCGGCCCCGCTCCGCCTCAGCTCTGCTTCAGCTCCGCCTCAGCTCCGCCTCAGCTCCGGCCCCGCTCCGCCTCAGCTCTGCTTCAGCTCCGCCTCAGCTCCGCCTCAGCTCCGGCCCCGCTCCGCCTCAGCTCTGCTTCAGCTCCGCCTCAGCTCCGCCTCAGCTCCGGCCCCGCTCCGCCTCAGCTCTGCTTCAGCTCCGCCTCAGCTCCGCCTCAGCTCCGGCCCCGCTCCGCCTCAGCTCTGCTTCAGCTCCGCCTCAGCTCCGCCTCAGCTCCGGCCCCGCTCCGCCTCAGCTCTGCTTCAGCTCCGCCTCAGCTCCGCCTCAGCTCCGGCCCCGCTCCGCCTCAGCTCTGCTTCAGCTCCGCCTCAGCTCCGCCTCAGCTCCGGCCCCGCTCCGCCTCAGCTCTGCTTCAGCTCCGCCTCAGCTCCGCCTCAGCTCCGGCCCCGCTCCGCCTCAGCTCCGGCCCCGCTCCCCCTCAGCTCCTCCTCAGCTCCGGCTCAGCTCCCCCTCAGCTCCGGCTCAGCCCGGGCCCGGCTCCGCCTCACTCCGCCTCAGCTCCGCCTCAGCCCGGGCCCCGTTCCGGCCCAGCTCCGCCTCAGCTCGGGCCCAACTCCGGACCCGCTCCTCCTCAGGTCCGGCCCGGCTCCCCCTCAGCTCCCCCTCAGCTCCGGCTCGGCTCCCCCTCAGCCCGGGCCCGGCTCCGCCTCACTCCGCCTCAGCTCCGCCTCAGCCCGGGCTCCGCTCCGGCCCCGCTCCGCCTCAGCTCTGCTTCAGCTCCGCCTCAGCTCCGCCTCAGCTCCGGCCCCGCTCCGCCTCAGCTCTGCTTCAGCTCCGCCTCAGCTCCGCCTCAGCTCCGGCCCCGCTCCGCCTCAGCCCGGGCCCGGCCCGTTCTCGCTCCGCCCCGCGCGGCCTCCCCGGTACGGCGGGGCCGGGGGACACCGGGGCGGAGGGGACGGAGCGAGGCCGGGGCCCGGCGGGGCCCGGAGCTGCGGCCTGTGGGGACAGGGGGGCCCCCGAGCTGGGCCCGGGGCGCTGAACGGGGGTCCCGGGGGGCTGATGAGGTGGGGGGGTCTGAATTGGGGCACCCGGTTCAGCTCTGCTGGGTGTGAGGGTCCTGACGCGAGGGGTGTCAATTGAGGGGTCTGAATTTGGGGTTTGGGGTGCAGGGGAGTTTGGGGTACCCTGGTCTTGTTCTCCAGGGTGTGGGTTTGGGGGTCCTGGGGGTCCTGACATGGGGGGTCTCAGTTGAGGGGTCTGAATTTGGGGTTTATTTGGGAGTCCTGGCCAAGGGGTGCAAGGGAGTTTGGGGTACCCTGGCCACATTCTCCAGGGTGTGGTTTTGGGGGTCCTGACATTGGGGGTCTGAATTTGGGAGTCTGGGGGTCTTGACCTGGGGGTCCTGGGGATCTGGCCAGGTTCTCCAGGGGGTTGGTTTTGGGGGGGCAGGGGTCCTCATGGGCAGAGTCTGAGCTGGGGGTCTGGGGGCTTTATTTAGGGGTCCCAAGGGTTCTGACCAGGGGGTTTTGGGGGTGGTCCTGGGGCTTTTGGAGGTGTGGAGGGTTCTCCAGGGGGATGGTGTTGGGGGTCTGAGCTGGGGGTCCCAGGGTCCTAAATGGGGGCTTGGCCATGTTCTCCCGGGGTTGGAATTGGGGGGCATTAATTTGGGGTCTCAGGGGTCCTGACCAGGGGCCCTGGGGAGGTGGTAATGGGGTCTGGGGTCCTGAGATGGGGGTCCCAGGGAGTCTGATGTTGTGGGTCATGAGGGCCTGTCAGGAGGTCCAGGGGACTGAACTGGGTGTCCCAGGGGGCCTGGCCATGTTTTGGGGGACAGAGGGTTGTATTGGGGTCCTGGAGATCCTGGAGGCTTGGCCACGTTTACTGGGGAGGGGGTGTTGGGGATCCTGGGGGTCTTTGGGGACCTGATTTGGGGACCTGGCCACGTTCTCCTGGGGAAAGGCCAGGGGTGCAGCTCTGTATCCTGGGGGTTCAGCCCCATGTCCTGAGGGACTCAGACCCAGAGCCCTGGGGGTGCAGTTCTGGAGCCCTTGGGGGGATTCAAGCCCAGGGGTGCAGCTCTGTATCCTGGGGGTTCAGCCCTACAGCCCCGTGTCCCACACAGATCCGGAAGGTCCAGCCCTGGAGTCCCGAGGTGTTCAGTCCCGGAGCCCCGGGGTGGCAATCCCGTATCCCGGGGGCCTCAGTCCCGGAGCCCCGGGGGGCTCAGCTCCCTGTCGTGGGGGATTCAGCCCCCCATTCCTGCAGACCCCTGCCCCGGGGGGTTCCAGCTCGCTGTCCCGGAGGTTCAGCTCCGTGTCCCACAGCCAAGCAGCCGCGGGTCCCCTCCTTGTCCCCCCGACACCGATCCGACCTCCGCCGTGTCCCCTTTGTCCCCTGTGTCACCCCCGCGCCGCCTCCGACGCTCGCTGCGGCCTCTCCCGGCCCCGCTCCGGTCCCGCTCCCCCTCAGCTCCAGCCCGGCTTCGCCTCACTCCGCCTCAGCTCCGCCTCAGTCCTGGGGGTCTTTGGGGACCTGATTTGGGGGCCTGGCCACGTTCTCCTGGGGGTGATATTGGGGATCCTGGAGGTGCTGACCTGCGGGGGGGATCCCAGGGGATCTTTCCTGGGGTCCCAGCATCCAAAATGGGGGTCCTGACCTGGGGGTCCTGACCTGGGGGATCCGAGGGGATCCTCCCCGGGTGTCCCCAGAGCCGCAGTGTCCCCTGTCCCCACAGGCAATGGGTGCATCGGAGCCCCCCAATTTCTCGTGGGTGGTCGAGGGGCGGCTGGCGGGGCTGGCGATGCCGCGGGAACCGGGGCACTACCGGTACCTGCGGGAGCGCGGCGTGCGGCACCTGGTGTCCCTGAGCGAGCGGGCCCCGCCCCACCACGGCTGCTGTCCCCAAATCCAGCTGCACCGGCTCCGCGTGGCCGACTTCACCCCGCCGAGCCCCGAGCAGATCCAGAGCTTCCTGCGGATCGTGGAGGAGGCCAATGGCCGCGGGGAGGTATGGCCGGGGACATCTGGGGGAGGTGGTACCTGGGGGACAGCTGTGGGGGGCAGCTGGGGGAGGCTGGAGGTGGTGACACTAGGGGGATACCTGGGGGAAGACATCAGGGGAGGGGACACTGGGGAAGACATCTGGGGGAACACTTAGGGGACACCTTGAGGGGGTGGCATCTCACGGTGGGGAACGCGTCGAGGGCTGGGGGGAGACCTCAGCGGGGTGACAGCTCAGGGGGAAGGGACACCTTGAGGAGGGACATTTGGAAGGATGGCACCTTGGTGGTGGGGGACACTTTGGAGGGGGTGACATCTTGACACCACGGTGGGGGACACCTTGGGGGTGGGGGGAGGTGACATCTCAGGGGAATGGCACCTTAGTGGGGGATGGACACCACTTGAGGAATGACACCTTGGGAAGGTGACACCTTGGGAGATGGACACCACTTGAGGAATGACACCTTGGGAGGGTGACACCTGCAGGGGAACACCCACCTTATGGTAGGGCTGTGACACCTGGTGGCTGTGACATCTCAGGGAGTTGTCACTTCAAGAAGGGACACCTGGCAAGATGAGGGGAGGGGGTGAGAGAAGGTGACACCAGGCAGAAATCCCGTGAAGGCAGCGCCAAAGCAGGCATCGCCTGTCACTCAGAGGGGCACGTGGGTGTCCAGCAATGCCACCCAGCCGCCGTGTCCCCGTGTCCAGGCCGTGGCAGTGCACTGCATGCTGGGCCACGGCCGGACTGGCACGCTGCTGGCCTGTTACCTGTGCAAGGAGCAGCACCTGGCAGGTGACGATGCCATCCGTGAGATCCGGCGCCTCCGGCCCGGCTCCATCGAGACTGCAGAGCAGGAGCAGGCCGTGCTCCGCTTCTGCCAGTGCCTGGGGTAGGTGCCACCCTCCCCAGGCTGTCACCACGGGGGTTCCCTCCCCCAGTTGTGGCTCCCAGATGTCCCCAGTCCTTGCTCACTGGTGGCATTTTCCCCTCCACAGCACTGGCGAGGAGAGCTGAGCACATGGATGGCATCCATGGAACTGGGCACCCCGAAGTGCCAGGCGTGCCCAGCCCCATCTGCCCCCTCCTGCATTAAAGGACTGGCCTGTGGCTTCTCTCCAGGTCTGGTTTTGGGGTACACACTGGGGGGATGCCTGGTCATGGCTCTGCTGGGCACCCCCAGACCCGGCTTGATTGGCAGCTGCATCCTGGGATTTGGGGTCCTGGCTCTGGGGTCCTGGATGTGGGGTTCCTCACGGTTCTGGTTCTGGATCCCAGCTTTGAGCTCCCTCAGGACCCTGAATTTGGGGTCATTAAAGGTCCCAGTTCTGGGGTTGTTTGGGATCCTGGCTCTGGGATCCTGGGTTTGGGGTTCCTCAGGGTTCTGGTTCTGGATCCCAGCTTTGAGCTCCCTCAGGGCCCTGAATTTGGGGTCATTCAGGGCCCCAGTTCTGGGGTTGTTTGGGATCCTGGCTCTGGAATCCTGGGTTTAGGGTTCCTCAGGGTTCTGGTTTTGGGGTGATTTAGGGTCCTGGTTCTGGAGTTGTTCGGGATCCTGGCTCTGACATCCCTTGGGGTGATGGCTCTGGGGTCCTGGGCTTGGGGTCCCTCAGAGTTCTGGTTCTGGATCCCAGCTTTGAGCTCCCTCAGGGCTCTGAATTTGGGGTCATTAAAGGTCCCAGTTCTGGGGTTGTTTGGGATCCTGGCTCTGGGATCCTGGGTTTGGAGTCTGGCTTTGGGGCCTTGGCTTTGGGGTCTGAGATCTGGGTCCTGGCTCTGGGTTCTGGTTTTGGGGTCTTGGTTTTGGGGTCCTGGCTCTGGGTCCTGGCTCTGGGGTCCCTCAGGGTGCTGTTTGTGGGGTCCCATAAGATCCATCTCTGGAGTTGTTCTGTCCCTGGGGTCCTTCAGAGACCCCGAGCAGCCGCCCCAGAGCACCCCCCGAGCTGTCACCCGCCAGCGCCCCGATGCCACGTGGAGGGTGACAACCGTGTCAGCGCCCGGGGGCCGACCCGGGACGTTGACGCTTAAAGTGTAGCTTAGCCGGAATTGAGGCATCTCCATCCAAAAATCCAATCCTGGAAATCTCTTCTCAGCTGCTCCTAACCTTGGTGGCATTTAAATCCTGGGTGGAAGCGGTGTCACCGTCCCCGTTTCCGGGCGGGTGGCACATGGCTTGGAGCGCCCCGGGCACAATTGGGGCCAGCGCCTCAACCAGCAGCTCCACAGTCCCCAAAAAAGTTCCTTTGGACCCCCACAATGTCACCATCCTCCTCTGGGGACAAAGCACCAGGGTGGTGACACCAGGGTGGTGACATTGGCATGGTGACACCGGGCACTGCTGGCAATCCAGCTGTGCCCTGCCCAGATGTGACCAGAACTGGGAAGGGGGCTCACCACAGGGTGTGGGGTCACTCTAAAACTTTGGGGTCACCCAGCTGGCCCTGGTGCCCCATGGTGGGGTTTTGGGGACACCCGCGTCCCCCAGGTGATGCCACAGCGAGGCCACACCAGCGCACCGAGCATGTGGGGGGCACATGCCCGGGGCACAGCCACTTTGGGGTGCCCAGCCCTGCGTGGGGGCCACCACGGGGACAATGGGGACACGGTGGGGACGATGTGGCCGCGATGGGGACGCCGTGGCCGCGGTGGCAGTGCCGGACAGCGGTGTCCAGCCTAAGCTCACATGGGCCAGAGCGGCCAAAAGCTGCTTACGGCAGAATTATTGCCCTTAACCCCGCTGACTCCACGCTGTCCTCAGAGTCCCCCGGGCTCAGGGGGCCAGGCCGGGCCGGGGGGGGCTCCAGGGACCCCCCACCCCCTCCAAGGGGGGCTGGGCTGGGGGGACATCGCTCCCGGTGCTCCCGTGTGGCCGGGCCGGTGTCACACGTGCGGGGTTTGCTCGTCCCTCCATCCCGGATCTGAGGTGGGGACACGTCCAGGATGTCCCCTCTGTGTCCCCTGTGTCCCCCCAGGCTGGCGAGTGGCCCAGCTCCGGCTCAGCCCGCGGGACGGGGACATGGCACTGGTGGCTGTCCCCGTGTGGGGACACATTTAGGATGGGATTAGAGAGCGGGAAGCGCTGGCACAGAGGGACACGCAGAGGGGACAAAGGGCTGGGCTGCTTGTCACATCCCCCAGTGCCACCCACCTGTCCCTGTGTCCCAAGGGGGGATCACACACCCAAACGCCACCCACGTGTCCTGTCCGTGTCCCATCCATGTGTCCCATCCGTGTCCCACCCGTGTGTCCTCTGGTCCCACCTCTGTCCCAGGAGAGTTTTCCCTTCGTGTCCTGCCCGTGTGTCCCACTCGTGTCCCATCTGTGTCCCCTCCATGGTCCCACCCGTGTGTCACCCCTGTGTCCTGTTCATGACCCCTCGTGTCCCCCCCCGTCCCTCCCCAGTCCCACTCGTGTGTCTCACCCATGTGTCCCCCTCTTGGCTTCCTTCAGTCCCACCAGTGTGTCCCCATGTCCCCTTCGTGTGTTTTTCATTCGCGTGTCCTCTCCAGTCCCTCCCCGTGTCCCCTCCCTGTCCCCCCGTGTCCCACCCATGTCCCACGTGTGTCCCACCCATGCATCTCACTCGTGTCCTCCCTCTAGCTGCCCCTCCCGCAGCCCCCCGTGCCTCCCCCGGTCCCACCCGTGATCCTCGATGTGTCCCCCCATGTCCCCCTCGCTTTATCCCCCATATCCCCCTCCGTGTCACCCCACACGCACCCGGGTCCCCCTGCCCCCGCTCCGAGTACTACATTTCCCAGCACCCCTCGCTCCTCGCTGCCTCGCTCCGCCATTGGCCGCTTCGAGCAGCTCTCAGCGGCGTCTCCTGATTGGCTGTCGCCGCGGCAACGAGCGGCGGGGGGCGTGGCCGGGGCGGCCCCTCCCGCCGTCGCGGGTTTGTTTGCGGCCGCCCGGCGGCGGCGGCCGGAGCCGAGCGGACTCGGACGGACCCGAACCGAGCCGGAAAGAGCCGAAAGCAGCCGGGAAGAGCCGAGCGCAGCCGAGCGCGGCCGGCCGGGCATGAGGAGCGGCGGGACGCGGAGCCCCCCGCGCCCCCCGCCCGGGGCCGGTGCCCCCGGGGCTGCCCGGCCGAGCCCGCCGCTCCGCGGGCCCCGGTGACGCCGCGGGAGCCGCCGCAGAGGGGGCCTGGGCTATGCGCTGGTGGCTGCGCGCCGCCGTCCTCAGCCTGCTCGCCGGAGCCGGGGGTGAGGGGCTGCCCCGGGGAGCGGGGGCGGGGGGCGGCGGGGCCGGNAGGTCCCGGTGTGTCCCGGTGTGTCGCGCTGGGATCGGTTTGGCCAGCGCCGGCTCCCGGAGAGGCGGGGGCGGGAGGTTCCGTGGGCAGGAGAAGGGCTCATCCCGGTGTGTCCCGGTTCATCCCGGCGTGTCCCGTCTCACCCGCGGCCCGGTGCCGGTCCCGCAGGCAGCGGCCGGAGCGAGCCCCGGGCCGTGGTGGGGCGCGTCGGGGGCAGCGCGGTGCTGGGCTGCGGGCTCCTGGGCGCACACGAGGCGCGCCCGCCGCTCTACGTGATCGAGTGGGTCCGCTTCGGCTTCGTCCTGCCCATCTTCATCAAGTTCGGGCTCTACTCGCCGCGCGTGGACCCCGAGTACGCGGGTGAGTGGCGGGCACGGGGTTCCCGGGACTCCCGGTTGGGTCAAACCGGGTGCTGCTGGTGTTGGAGCACCTTAATCCCACTCCCGGGGAAGTGGGGGGCTCTTCTGGGGGGTCCCTGCAGCAGGTGAGTGCCAATCCCCATGCCCAGGGATGGCAGCAGGGATGGGGGTGCCCAGCTGGCAGAGGGGATGCAGATCCCTGCCCAGCCTGGCAGCGGGAGGGATCCCCACAGGGTGAAATCTGGGAGAAGCCCCCCCAGCCCACCCCCGTGGCTGCTGGGGCATCTCCCGCAGGCTGGAACGGCCGAGCCCCGCCGGTGCCACCGGGCTGCCCCGGGGGCTGCGGGTCGCCTGAAGGTTGAGGCTGGGGAGGGGATTTGGGGGGAGCTGCTAATTGGAGCAAAGCTGGGCCGGGGACGGGCTGGGCGTGGGAGGGGGATATTCGCTGCTTTAGCGGGTATTTAAAGTGAGCGGTGGCAGAGCCGGAGGAATCCCAGCCAGAGGATCCCTGCGAGCACGAGGGGAAAGCCGCCGGAGTGTCCCCTGGGCACGGGGAGGGCTGGCAGCCCGTGGGTGATTTGGGCTGAGCCCAACCCTGACGTTCTGTGCCAAAATCCCTGCTCCTTCCCTTTTCTCGGGGAGCCGGATCACGACCTAAACCAAGCTGCCAAAATTGTCCCCCTGCCTAAAAAACACCTCGGTCGGGACAGCCACTCTCCTGCTGCCCCCTTCCCATGAGGGTGCAGATTTTGGGGGATGCTTTCAGAGCTCCCACTTGGCTCTGGGGGACCAGAGGTGTTGTCACCAGCGGTGACAACAAGCCCCGCGGGCAGGACAAGGCACCTGCTCTGCCGGGAGAGGCCAGGGCTGGGCTCCTGTTACCTGAGCGCCGAGGGGCCCCGGGGCTGCGGCGGCTCCGGTTACCCAGCGAGGGGCTGGCAGTGCCCCCCTCCCCCGTGTCCCCTCGTCGCCGCCGCCAGCGCGGCTCCGGGGGCAGCGGGAGCAGATTGGGATCAGCGCTGGGGGAAGGGGCTGCTGGCTGGAATGAGGGCGAGCCGGGTGGGCAGGGGGGCTGGCGGCCGTCGCCATGGCAGCGGGGGCGGCTTGTTTTCCATCGGCCGGGAAGGGCAGGGGAGGTGGGTGCAGGGCGATGCCAGCCCCCTCTAGCCGGCGCTTCCCAGGTGGAGCAGATCAGGTGTCACCGCTGCTGTCACCAGTGTCACTCCTGGGGACATCGTGGGGGGGGCTGCAGCTGCCTCTGTGGTGGGATGGGGGTCGGCTCTGCCCTGGGTGCCACCGCCACCCGCATTGTCACGGGCCACTGTCCCCTGCCCTAGAAGAGGGTCGGTGGTCCCTGGCCGGGCTCAGAGCCCCCCTCCCCGGCTCTGGCCGCGTGGCGGGGACTGCAGCCCCCTTTGTGTCCCGTCCCCCCCCCTTTGTGTCCCGCTGAATGTCGGTTGCCAGGCGCGGGGGGATGCTGGGCCACAGGGTTTTGTTTTTGCAGGGCGGTGGAGGAGGAGGAGGGGGCTGGGGCCGGCACAGGGGGATTAGGGGGAGGCTGAGGGGCGTCCCCAGGCCGCTCTGATCCCTTCCAAAGGGACCTTTGTTCGGGAGCCGGCTGCTCCCGCCGCGCCTGGGGCTGGGGGCTGGCAGCTGCTGGGGCTTCCCAGAGCTTCCCAAAGCTTCCCAGAGCTTCCCAAAGCTTCCCAGAGCTTCCCAAAGCTGTCCCACTTCCCAGGGCTGGCAGGAGGACCCCCCGTCCCACAGCTGTGGGGTGGGAAGCAGCTCCGGGCGCTGCGGGAAAGCTTTGCTCGTGTTTGTGTGCGGGGTTCGCACGGCTCGGGGTGGATCTCGGTGCCCAAACCCGCCTGCCCGGCTCCTGCCACTCCTCCTCCTCCTCCTCCTCTTCCTCCTCATCCTTGCCGGGCTCGTCTGGCGGGACACGGAATCCCAATCCCGCTGCTGTGCCAGCCGGGATCCGGTGCCCCGGGCACTGCGTGGGGACTGTCTGTGACAGCGGGTGGGGCTGGCAGCGGGGCTCCCCAAAACTTCCCGTGTCGGGAACCCCTCGGGAAAACTGCGGGTCTAGGGATGCTGATGGAGCACCGTGGGCTGCTCCGGTGCTGCCGCTGCCGTGTCCCTACCGTGGTGTCCCGGGAGCAAGGTCACCTGCGTGGCCCGGGGGTGCCCGGGGTGGCAGTGCCAGGGCACGGGGTGCAGGGATGGCAGGGAAGGATGGATGCCCAGGATGGATGCCCACGGAAGGGGGTGCTCCGGGCAGTGGGTGCCTGGGGAAGGGGATGCTCAGGACAGGGGGTGCCTGGGGAAGGGGATGCCCAGGATGGTGGGTGCCCCGGATAGGGGATGCCCACGGAAGGGGATGCCCAGGGCAGTGGGTGCCCGGAGAAGAGGATGCCCAGGATGGTGGGTGCTCGGGGAAGGGGATGCTCAGGTCAGGGGGTGCCCGGGGAAGGGGATGCCCCGGGCAGTGGGTGCCCGGGGAAGGGGATGCTCAGGATGGTGGGTGCCCCGGACAGAGGGTGCCCGGGCCAGGGGGTGCCGGTGCGTTCCTTGGGGGCCGCTGGCCGCGCACCCCAGCCCGGGCTGAGCCAATTGCTCGCTGCACCCTGAGCCGATTATGGCTCTGATAATAAATAGCCCGGGGGATTAACGGGCTGCGCTCGCTCTCGCTTCGGCCCTTATCCCTCTCCTCATCAAAGGGGCCGCGGGGCGTGGGGCTGGCGCGGGGCGAGGACCCCACGGCCTGGGGGAGCCCCCGGGGTGGGGTTCACCGCGACCCCCCCGTGCCGCGGGAGTGCCGGGGCTTAGCAGGGCTCCCAAGGGTGAGAGCGCCGGGGGGGCTCCCAGGGGGAGGGAGGGTGCTCGGGAAGGAGGAAAAGGGGTCGGGGTGTTGGGACCATTCCTTCGATGCTCGAAGTGCGCGGACGCGCCGTGCTGGGGGACCGCGCCGAGGCCACCCTGCGCGAGGGCGGGTGGCGGAGCCACTGTCGCCTCCTCTCCGTGTCACCCCCGCGTGCAGTGCTGAGTGTCGCTGGGACCAACCTCTGGCACCGCCGTTCCCAGCCCCCCGCGGTGCCAGCGTGGGTGGGCGCCCTGGGGAGGGGTGGCCCCAGGGAGAGGGGTGGCCCCAGGGAGGGGGTGACCTGACAGAGGGGTGGCCCCAAGGAGGGGGTGACCTGACGGAGGGGTGGCCCCAGGGACGAGTGACCCGGGAGAGGGGTGACCTCAGGGAGGGGGTGGCTCCAGGGATGGGGTGACCCAGGAGAGGGGGTGACCTGGCAGAAGGGTTGCCCCGGGGAGGGTGACCCGGGGGAGGGGGTGGCCCGGAGGAAGGGGTGGCCCGGGGACGTGGCTGTCGCTGAGCCGCCGCCGGTGGCACAGGACGTGTGCGGCTGGAGGAAGGTGCCTCGCTGCGCCTGGACCTGCTGCGTGCCGAGGACCAGGGCTGGTACGAGTGCCGGGTGCTCTTCCTCGACCGGCACAGCACCGACGCCGACTTCCAGAACGGCACCTGGATCCACCTCACCGTCAACGGTACCGGCCCGTCCCACCCCCCGCTGCTCTGCCCGCGTCTCCCAGGGCTGGCTCTGGAAACGCTGGGCTTCCGCACTGAGTTGAGCCAGATGTGAGGGTGAGGGTTTGGGTCTGGATTTGCCTTCCAGCACCTCCCACCTTCCTGGAGACGCCCCCTGCGTTCGTAGAGGTGCGGGACCAGGCTGCACTGAGCCTCACCTGCAGGGCTGTCGGCAACCCCCAGCCTGTTGTCACCTGGAAGAGGAGTGACCTGCCTGTCCAGAGCGGGGACACGGTGCAGGTGAGGGTGACAACCCCCTGGTCACCCGTCTATGGGGTGTGGCCAGCCTCTGGTGCCCATCCCCACTGTGGTGGCCCCTCCCTGCTGACGGGGCAGGTCGCTGTCCCTTGGTGGCCGTGCCACGGGTGGTGCCATTGCAGGTGAGCAACGGGACGCTGAGCATCGCCACCGTGGAACGTGCCAGCGCGGGCACCTACACGTGCCACGCCACCAGCAAGGAGGGCACTGTCACCCACACCACCCGCGTGCTCGTGCAGGGTAAGGACAGGGTGTCCCCAGCCCTGCTCCGTGGGCTGGGCACACAGAGGGAGCCATGGCATGGTCGGTTTTGGGAGCAGCTGTGCCCAGCCCTCACTGCCCGTCACCCCAGGGCCACCCATCATCGTGGTGCCACCGCAGAACGTCACTGTCAACATCTCCCAAGATGCCTTTTTGGCGTGCCAGGCTGAGGCATACCCAGGGAACCTCACCTACACCTGGTTCCAGGGCAGCAGCAACGTCTTCCACCTCAGGTACGGCAGCAACAGGGATGGCACCGGGGCAGCTGTGCCCCCAAACCTGGCCCCGAGTGCCAGGCACAGCCTGGGTGTGTGCTGGGGGCGAATCCATCACCCCAGGACAGCAGGGACAGTCCCAGCTGTGCCACTCCCTGCTGTGCCATCCTTGCCAGCCACCTCCAGGCTCGGGTCCGTGTCCTGGTGGACGGGAGCCTCCTGCTGCAGCGAACGACCCCGGACGACGCTGGGAAATACACCTGCACCCCCAGCAACGGGCTCTGGAAGCCACCTTCTGCCTCAGCCTTCGTCACAGTGCTCTGTAAGACCCCCTCCTGCACCCCCAGGCCGTGGGGGGCCCTGCTGGGGGGGCTGTGGTGGGAACAGGGGTGCTCCGTGGGGACCCCAGCCCCGTGTGTCCCCGCAGACCCAGCGCAGGTGACCACCATGCTCCCGGAGACTCACCTGCCCAAGGGCATGAGGGGCGTGATCCGCTGCCCCTCCAGGGCCAACCCCCCCCTGCTCTCCGTCACCTGGACCAGGGACGGGCGCCCGCTGGAGCTGGACAAGGTAGGGCAGCTACCACCCTTCCCAGACCCCTCCTGCTCCCCTATTCCCCACTGCCAGCTCCTTCCCATCCCAGCTCCTTCCCAGATCCCTCCTGCTCCCCTATTCCCCACTGCCAGCTCCGTCCCATCCCAGCTCCTTCCCAAATCCCTCCTGCTTCCCATTCCCCTATTCCAGCTTCTTCCCACCTTACCAAATCCCTCCTGCTCACTCATTCCCCTCTCCCAGGTCCCCGGCTGCTCCGTGCGGCCACTCCCACCACCTTCCCACTTTCCCAAATCCCTCCTGCTCTCCCAGCTCTTTCCCATCTTCCCAAATCCCTCCTCCTCACCCATTCCCCACTCCCTACCCTTCCCATCTTCCCAAATCCCTCCTCCTCCTCTCAGAGCTCCTTCCCACCTTCCCAAATCCCTCCTCCTCACCCATTCCCCTCTCCCAACTCCTTCCCACATCTCTCCTGCTTTCCCATTCCCCTCTCCCACCTTCCCAAATCCCTCCTTTCCCATTCCCACTCCCACCACCTTCCCACTTTCCCAAATCCCTCCTGCTCTCCCAGCTCCTTCCCACCTTCCCAAATCCCTCCTCCTCTCCCATTCCCCACTCCCTCCACCCTTCCCACCTTCCTAAATCCCTCTTCCTTGTTCCTCTCTCCTAGCTCCTTCCCAAATCCCTCCTCTTCACCCATTCCCCTCTCCCTCCACCCTTCCCACCTTCCCAAATCCCTCCTCCTCCTCTCACAGCTCCTTCCCACCTTTCCAAATCCCTCCTCCTCACCCATTCCCCACTCCCTACCCTTCCCATCTTCCCAAATCCCTCCTCCTCCTCCTCTCCCAGCTCCCGGGCTGGTCCGTGCGGCCCGACGGCTCCATCGTCATCGCCACGGGCAACGACGACGCTCTGGGGCTGTACCGCTGCACGCCCTACAACAGCTACGGCACGGCCGGCGAGTCCCGGCCCACCCGCGTCCTGCTGAAGGTGAGGAGCCCCTCGGGGTCCCCTCCTGGCTCTGCACCCCCTGCCAAGCCCCCTCCCCAAACTGCCCCTTTGCCTTGCAGGACCCTCCTGCCTTCACGGTGCGGCCCAAGGAGGAATATTTCCAGGAGGTGGGCCGGGAGCTGGTGATCCCCTGTGCAGCTCGTGGGGATCCCCCACCCACCATCACCTGGGTGAAGGTAGGGGCTGCTGTTTTGGGGGGTCAGCTGGGCCCCCACGGGGACAGAGATTGCTTTTGGCCTCCAGGGCATCATTTCTGGGGCAGTGTCCCTGTCTCCACTGGGTCCCATCCCAAATTGGGGTCCCATCACACGATTCCTGAAGGATCTGAGGTCACTTTGCTTGGCTGTCCTCTAAAAAATTGGCAAAACTTTGCCCCTTGGCCTCCAAACCAGCCCAGGGTGGTGGGCCATGTCCCCCTTTTCAAGTCCCCTTGTCCCCAGCAGTGTCACAGGGGGCGGGCTGGTGGTGGCCCCCCATCAGCGTGTCCATGCCCCACAGGTGGGCAGCGTGGGGAAGAGCAGTGCCCAGGTGGATGGCAACAGCAGCCTCGTCCTCCACCCCCTCACCAAGGAGCAGCACGGAGTCTGGGAATGCAGGGCCACCAACCAGGTGGCCAGTGTCACCACTGCCACCTCTGTCCACGTACTGGGTGAGCTGCCCATCACTGGGGTGGTCTCAGGGTGGGCAACATGCTGGAAGGTGTGGTCCAAGCCCCCCAGTGTGACACTGCTGCCCTCCAGGTACCAGTCCCCACGCTGTCACCAACGTCTCCGTGCTCCCACTGCTGCTGGCAGCCAACATCTCCTGGGAGCCAGGCTTTGATGGAGGCTACTTCCAGAGGTTCAGCGTCTGGTACACCCCTCTGTGAGTGCCCACCCCCGCTGTGTGCCCCCCCAGGAGCCTCAGCTCCCTCTCACGTGTCCCTCCTGTCCCCAGGGTGAGGTACCCACCGCGGGCACACCACGACTGGGTGTCACTGTCGGTGCCAGCTGGGGCTCAGCACCTTCTGGTGGAGAACCTGCAGCCAGACACCAGTTACCAGTTCAGCGTCCTGGCCCAGAACAAGCTGGGCAGTGGCCCCTTCAGCCAGATTGTCACCTCCGTGCCCAGGGGTAAGGGCACCTCCCCAAAACACCCCCGGTGCCCCCCTTCCCGCCTGGTGCCAACCTCCGCTTTCTCCCCAGGCTTCCCAGTGACCACAGTGCCTCCGGAGCCACCAGCCATGACCGTGCACGTCTTCCTGTCCCCACCCCGGGCTCTGACAGCCAACGAGACCGTGCGGGGGGTTCTGCTGCGCTGGGACCCCCCTGCCCGTGCCTCGGTGGTCCCGAGCGGGTACGCGCTGGAGCTGCGGCAGGACAAGGGCGGCTGGGAGGTGCTGGAGCGCTCCATCCCCGGCACTGACACCCAGGTGCTGGTGCCAGGGCTCATCAAGGTGAGATCTGGTTAGGTTAGGGCTTGGTGGCCGCAGTGGCAGCGTGGCTGATGGCTCTGTGTCCCCTCCTCAGGACGCCTTCTATGAGTTCCGACTGGTGGCCTTTGCTGGCAGCTACATCAGCGACCCCAGCAACACGGTGAACGTGTCCACGGCAGGTAAGGCTGGGAACTGTTTCCCTGAGGTGGGAAACATCCAAATTCCCAAAGGAGAACTCCCTTCATGCTGCTCCCACCCCCCTGGCCCTGCTGCTAAACTGAGGGCATGGCCAGAGCAGGACCAGGGGGCAACAGCCAGAGTGGCTTCAGCCTCAGAGACCATAGCATCCCCTCTCCTGGTGCCCATGGTGGGGGGCACAGCTCCCCCCAAGGGCAGAGCAGCCCTGTTGTGGCAAGAGCTGTGTCCCCATGATGCTGGTGACACCAGGGGGCTGTGCCAGCCTGACGGGGTGCCCTGTGTGTGGCAGGGATGGAGGTGTACCCGTCCCGCACGCAGCTGCCGGAGCTGCTGCCACAGCCGGTGCTGGCGGGGGTCATCGGGGGGATCTGCTTCCTCAGCGTGGCCGTCATCTTCAGCACCATGGCCGCCTGCATCATGAACCGGCGCCGCGCCGCGCGCGTCCGCAAGCGCCGCCAAGGTACCCGGGGACGGGGACAGGGGACAGGGACAGGGGACAGGCCAGCCTGGGGGGACCGAGTGGGTGCCGCCGTCTCCTCCTCATCACGTTTTGAGTTGCTCGCCGTGTGATCCCCCTGTGTTCTCATGGCCTTCCAGATCCACCACTCGTCTTCTCCCCCAGCAAGAAGCTTCCACCTCCACAGTAAGTCACATCATTGTCACGTCATTGTCATGTCATTGTCACGCTCCCTCCTTGTCCTGCCATGTCACTGCCGTGCTCTCACCATGCCCCACTCCCTCCCTGTCCTGCTCCCTCCATCCCATTCCCTCCCTGTCCTGCTCCCTCCATCCCACTCCCTCCCTGTCCTGCTCCCTCCATCCCACTCCCTCCCTGTCCTGCTCCCTCCATCCCACTCCCTGCCACGCCATGTCCCCTTCTCTCCCTGCCATGCCATGCCACACTCCCTCCCTGTCCCTCTCTTGCCCTGCCCTGCTCCTCCACATCCCATTCCCTCCCTGTCCCACTCCTGCCATGTCACACCTCTTCCTTTCATTCCCCAAATCCTCCTCCCTCTCACTCCACTCCTGGCCGTGCCACGCTCCCCTCCCTCTCCCACTCTCTCCATGTCATTCTCCCTTCCATCCCTCTCTGTCCCTGTGCCACTCCTGGCCATGCCATGTTCCCATCCCTGTCCCACTCATCATCCCTCTGCCACCAGCTGGGAGCACAGGGACAGGCTGGGGACAGCCACCCGCTGCTGCCACTGCCTAAGGGCGTTAGGAGCGGGCTGCTGGCACCGGGGCTCCCGCCGTGTGCTCCCTCCGGGCAATTTTGGCTGGAGAAAAGATTGCGAAGTGCAGGAGCAGGGCTCGGCAGCACGGCCGGGGGTGCTGCAGCTGCTGCCTCTCCCTTGCAGCAACGCTCGTGGCGCTGGTAGCCCCGCCAGCACGCTGAAGCTGAAGCTGCAGCCATCGCCGTGCCGGAGCCTGCACCGGAGCCTGCTGTGGGGCGAGAAAGCCGGCACCAGCCTGGGGCTGAGCATCGCCGGCTCCCGCTACCCCGCCTACGAGAGCCACGGCCGGGAGCACGTCCCGCTGGAGCGCATCTGCCGCGGCCCCGACGGCCGCTTCGTGCTGGACACCGAGCCGCGGCCGGAGCCGGAGCCTCCGCGGGACCCCCTGCAGCCCTACCGCCAGCTGCCCGCCGAGGAGGACGAGGAGGATGACGAGGAAGAGGGAGACGACCAGCCCGTGTGGCACAGGGGGGTCTCGCTGCGCCCCCAGCCCGCGGGGCAGCCCCGCCGCGGCGCCCGCGCCTCCGGTCACCGGCACGGCCGCTACTTCGGCTACGGCAGCAGCAGCCCCGTGGACGAGACCGTGGCGTTGAGCATCACCGACGTCAGCCCCGTGGCCTCTGCCGCCGCCACGCTGCCTTACAGCGCCGTCCAGGAGCCCCCCCGGCCCCGCCACGGCCCCCCCTGGGACTCACCGCCCCGCCGGGGCTCCCCAAAACCGGCCAGCAGCCCCCCGGTGTCCCCCGGCCCCCCGGCCATCAGCGGCATCCTGCAGTACCTCAGCCTGCCCTTCTTCAAGGAGATGTGTGTGGACGGCGACTGGCCCCCCCAGGAGGAGCAGGGGGAGCCCCCCAATGCCGGCGCCCCCCCGGAGCCCCCCGCCAGCCCCCCGCGCTCGGGGCGGACGCTGTGCCCGGACTGCATCGACACAAGTGCCAACGCCACCTCCCCTCCCGCCACCGCCGCGTTCCTTGAGCCCCCCCGGCTACCCGTGGGCCCCCCCAAGGCCTCTCTGCCCGGCTCCCCCTCCTGGCCCCGCTCCCCCAGCCCCGGGCCGCCCCCCCAGCCGCCCCCACATCTCCGGACTGAGGCCCCGGGGCGGCCGCCGGACGCCGCAGCCCCGGAGAAGCTCCCGCGGGGCAGCCTGACCAGCCAGAGCAGCGGCCGGGGCAGCGGCTCCTTCCTGCGGCCCCCCTCGCTGGCACCGTCCTTGGGGGGCACCTTCCTGGGCACCCCCGTCGGGGACGGGGGCAGCTGGCACAGTGGGGGCTCGGCAGCGGAGGAGGGACGGGGCAGGACGGATGCTGGCGCCGGGAAGAGGTGAGCCGTGGGCAGGGCACCGGGATGAGCTCCCGGAGCGTGCCGGGGCAGCGCCGGGCCTGTCCCACCCAGCTGGCATGGGCTGTCCTGGCACGGAGCCACCCGGCTGCCTCCCAGCCCTGCAGTGCCCTGGGGACGCCCCCCTGCCCATTATCCCTGTCCTGAGAGACCACCCCAGTTGTCCCCCAGCATCCCTGCCGTGTCCCCACGTCCCTCGGGGTGGCATCATCCCTGGCATCTGACCTTGGCACCTGCCCCTAGCACCCATCCCGGGGCACCTGTGCCTTGGGGTCTCTCCTGGCTTTCATTCTTGGGGGTCTCATGCCCATCCCTGGCATCTGACCCCTCAGGGTCTGCCCTGGCCTCTCCTACCCATCCCCAGGGCTTCACTTTTTGGGGTCTCCCCTGGAGCCCATCCCCGGGGTTTCCTTTTTTTGGGGTCTCCCCTGCAGCCCATCCCCAGGGTTTCTCTTTTTGGGGTCTCCCTTGGAGCTCATCCCCAGGGTTTCTCTTTTTGGGGTCTCCCCTGCAGCCCACCCCCAGGGTTTCTCTTTTTGGGGTCTCCCTTGGAGCTCATCCCCAGGGTTTCTCTTTTTGGGGTCTCCCCTGCAGCCCATCCCGGGGGTCTCACGCCCTCTGGCCGTGCCCCTCGCCCCCTCCCCGCAGGAGAAACACCTCGGTGGACGAAAACTACGAATGGGACGCGGAGTTCGCGCTGGAATCGGAGCTCCTGGAGGCGCTGCAGCTTTACCGGGGCGCGGCCCCGGCCCGGCCCGGCTCCTCCATCGCCCTGCGGGACCTGCAGCGGCACCGTGAGTGCGGCCCCCCCGCGCCCCCCACCCCCGTGCCCACAGCCCCGTGGCCGCCCCGGCGGCTGCCACGGACGCTGCTTATCTCCCCGCAGAGCCCGGCTCGGCCCCGGTGAGCTCGGTGTCGGCGGAGGCCTTGGGAACGGGGGGTCTCCAGGAGCGCGGCCAGACCCCCCGTCCCGAGGGGTTGGGGGCGCGGCGCCGCAGGGAGGGGGTCCAACAGCGGCGGCAGAGGGTGGGCACCCGCGGCTGCTGCTCCGAGCGCTTCGAGGTGGCCACGCTGCTTTAGGGGGACCCCCGGGACCCCCCGGGTGAAAGGATGGGCGGGGGGGGAATAAAGAGGCGTGAGAGCAGCTCTGGCTCCTGTTGGCGGGGGGACCCCCGAGGCATGGCTGGTTCTGCAAAGACCCCCTCCATCTTCTCTTCGGGGTCCCACCTTGTTCCGCTCGCCGTGCCTTGTGCAGGCTCCCCCATTCTGTGTCCTCCTCTTCCTCATCCCCCGGCCACAGCTTCTCCTTCCCCACTCGCATCCTCCTGGCCTCCTCCTATCAATCCCACCCCCCCAATCCTGGTATCCCCCCCCCAATCCTCCTG